CCCTCCCTCCCTCCCTCCCTCCCTCCCCCTTTTCCTCACTCTTTCCTTTTCTGTGAAAATGAACACTTCTTCACAAAACTGATACAATATTATACGTGCATACATATGACAGCTACATAGCTAAGTTCAAACTGAGTTATTCGTTTGGGAATCGTATTCGTAACAAAGTTTTTTCGAAATACTAAATATATAGACCTCTTTCAGCTGTAGGTACTTTCCAAATATACTTCTTGCATTTCAAATAAGATAAATATATACTCAAATTCTATAGGAGACCGAAGGAAAGAAAAAAAAAAACTGAAAAAGGTGTAAAAACTAGAAAAAGCTGAAATGTACGGCATAAAGAAAACAAAGCGTCTGTTTATCCATCGTGTTATTTGCATGCTTGAATATTTAAATCACTTTTTTAATACAGTTAGTACGAAACTAAGTTATCTAATTTAAATGCGTGAATCTTATCAGAATACTACTTCTTTCTTCAAGCCGGACATATATCTAAGAAATGCAATTAATTGGAACGGGAAACTAGCGAACAAGAATTCATTTTACGAAATTGAATTTGTAATCGGTGACATGAAAGATTAGATTAAAATTGTCTGAATTTTCTATCTTTTCCCGCTCTCGACACCTACTACTATCACAAATAATTAGACGAATAATCGCTTTAATTTCTTCTGCAAAGTGCACCAAAATTAAATGTCCAATTTTATTATTAAATATCCAATTTGTAATAAACGTAATTTTATTCCAATTTATTTTAATTACTATTAAAAAGATAAATCAAATAATGCCATTAAAGGAACTGAAATAGATAGAAAAAACAATTAGAGAAAGTTAAAAAAAATTCAAAAACTCTTGTGCTTTTTGAAAATTAAATTGACCTTTTCCTTTACAAATTTAATATAATTTATGATTATATTAATTATATAATTAAATTAGTAAAATGAATTTTTACTAATTTCTTCTAATTCATAACTGGGAAAATATCTTGATAACGTATGAGCATCTCACTCGTGATGATACGCAATCGCTTTTGCACTTTCATTAGTTAAATCTAAATCTTCGTCAAACGACTGCAATATTTTGAAACCATTCATATTTAACTAGAGGGATAAACGCGATCTTCATATTACTCAAATGGAATGGAACTTGGAATTGCATGACCAGGTAAGCGTTAAATGCACCCCTAATAAGAGACAAGACGATCTATATTCGTATTCCGTATTTAGCGCTAAATGTGATCATCATTGATGTTAAATTTTTTCTTTGTCCTATATAAAGATCGTATTTACCACTGCGTTATTACGACAGATCGAAAAGTAGATAGCCACAGTAGATATAGCGCTAAATATATGATACGAACTAAGGCGTTAAATCATGATTTATGATGCGAGTTTATTCTCTATTAGCGTGCTAAATATATGCAAATGTAAGCTCTAGACTAGAATTGCTAAATTATATAAAAATTGATGACGTAGAGTAAAATAAGCATACAAAATCCGTCACATACGCGAAAATATATCGTATTTTCCAGCAATATTAAATTTGGAGAAACCCCTCGCGAACAACATTTTGATTGACGACATTTTAATGAATAACCATTTAATCTTTCTAAATATATAAATTCCCAGTGATTATATACACGCACATACATTTTAATTTTATTTTAACGTTAAAGTGCGATCTTCATATTATTCGGGAATTTCAGAAATACATATATGGTTACGTAAAAACTTAAATGTGACGTGAAACATAAATACAAATATGGATAGTAAAGTATTCCAAATCTTAGCGAGAGTTATTACCTTATTGCTATTCACGTCACAGGATTATGAGAGTTATGATAACAAATCTTGCTGTCATATGATTTTCGAAATTGGTGTCTTCTGAAATGGTATCAGCTACATCGTAAAAAAAGAACTAATAACGGAGCATTAAAGTTAACAGAGGTAAATCGTTTCTGAGAACTGAAGAGCTGATCAGTTAATCCTTAATGATCTTGACATTTCGAGCTTTTGATTGTCATTAAGCTCTCTCTCGGTTTCCTCGTTATATAAATTATCGAAGAAACACTTAAAATTGCGAAAATTTAATTTAAATTCTCAGTATACCCACGTGATAATTATCGAAAGCTGGAAGCGCACTTTTTACAAGCTAATTTGGCATACATTTCTACAAACGTATCTCAAAACGTACAGCCATTTCATTGTGGAGAGAAAATTTAATAAAGCTCTTGGCAGCGCGCATCGAAGATTCGACAGATTCCATTTGTAAGTTTTGCAAACACATTTCAAGTGCTCGGCCGTCTGGTTTCGAATCGAAGGAATTATTCAAAACTCCTATTAGCGCGTGCAGGAGTCAAGCTCGATGGTCTTGCATTAACTACAAACACATCTTGAGAGTCTGACTTGGAGCTTAAATCATCGAGATTAACACGTGGGATCTGGCAGACCATGATAAATTGGTTGATTCGACATGAATCTCAAATCCTACGCGAATGACGACTCTCTCGCACGTATCTCCGTGCCACCGCGCCGCGTCGCATCGTGCGTATTCGCATGGTAATTGCACACTGCCACACTGACTACCATTTGAATAATTTCATCCACGCGGCAAGAACACGTACTCACCAGGGACGTACATGACTAGGCAATCCTACGCGATCTGCGCCTAGATGCCAAATGAATGCTCGTTTCTGCGGTCACCGATGCGGCCACGTCCGTCGCGCCGGGTCTTCTCTGTAGGACACGTGTCTGTTGTTATACCATATCGAATGTGAACAAGGATTGTAAATACAGGAATTGCGGCGGATCGACAAAGTCCTCAATCGTTACGTTCGATCGTGATTATATTGTTTCCTGCAGATTGATCGATCCTATGCGATTTGCTGCACTTTGAATATTACAATATTATAGTATACGCAGTCGTTCAGATAATCCTTGGTTGTACTAGCTAAGGGGGAAATATGCACTCGAGCTCGGCAAGGTACCCACACCCCGCGGCACCTTTATTACCCGGAAAAGATGATCCTCCTTGACTCCCTAACCTTTAATCATTCGACTAATTCATACGCTTAGCTCGGGGTTGCAAATTTAATTTCTCGCAGATTTAATTCCTCTACTTTCTCTTTATATGCAAAAAAAAAAGGGTAATCCCGCCTTTATAGACGGAACACTTCCTGGTCCGTGAGATTCGTTAGCGTAAGCTTAAATCTGATTGTTAATCCCCCGCGCCGTTTACGGCGATCTTCATCGAGGCAGCGAAAACTTTCGGCGCTCCGTTATAGCAACCGGTATTACCAACTTTACAAATTCAGTAGTATCAGAAATGAAAGAAAACACTACGAATGTTAATAGATCTGAGTACATCAATTATGTAACTTTTTCTCTAGAAAACGTGAAAAGTGAAAACTTTTATGAATGTATCATATATGTATGAACATGTACACACAACATACAAAAAATGTTCACTTTTCACGTTTCCGCCCTATAGGGAAAAAGAAGTTACATGATCGATACCCTGTTCGCATTGTTAGAAATCTCCCAAAATATTTGCACTTAAAATTATTAAGTATAAAAATTATACTCGAGCGTCGAAAAGAAAAAAGCGAACATACTGAGTATAAAAAGTGTAAGCAATACAAACAGATTTTGTTGCGTTACGTAAACGATGACACAAACGAAGATAAAATTCGTTTAGAACGAATTAATACAATTATTTCGCGCCGAGACTTCGAAGCCTCTTAGACCGCGGTCGGTTCTTATATTCAAGATTGTTTTGACATAAATTAATCACAGAAGATATTAGCATCTTAAAACCTTACTTAAGGTGGTCTTGCAATAAGAACGGATACCGGCATTAGAGATTTTTAACAATATCCAAATTACGTTGCTGCAAAACCGAGAGAGAGAGAGAGAGAGAGAGAGAGAGTCCGCAGAAAAACGTTATTTTTCTAAAAAAAAAAAAAAAGGTATTACCTCGACGAATTGATTAAAAGACTTTCCGTCCCAATGGAGCGGTCAAGAGGAAAAAGAGCAAGATTGTATATGACTAACCAGAGTAACGTACCTTCAGTTTTTCCGCTCGGGCGAGCTTCTCGTTATCCCGCGTTTCACGATGCGCGATAACAAGCGTAATTATATGTCGCGGATACGTCCTTTGTTTCTATTCCTTTTTTTCAATCGACAATGGGTGCGCGTATATCCACGAAGCGCGTTTGACGGTACCGTGCGCGTTTACGCGTTAAAATGTCGCATCCATCCTCACTCGCACGCGTGCAACACTCCGTTCTCGTACTCGCGGTAACTCGCGATCAAGTTCAGACGGCGTACGCCCGCTTGTCCATCCTTCGCCGTTCCGCGCTTCTCTTAATTATTATACGTACAGAAGTAAACAACGAACTTTAGTTCTTAGCGACGATCGACGGCTAACGGTTGACAGACGTTGCAATCGAATGGCAAATACGCTCACAATGAGTTTGCGTGGCACGCGGACGCGCAGCTGCTACTAAACTCTTTCTCGAGCGAACGCGAACTAAACGTGACTCGAAGTGCGCGCGCCGCCACCGCCGAGAAACTGCAGACGACGTGAATATAGACCCCGTCGACGATGACGCCCTCATCGGTCAAAACTACCCCGAAAGAGTTGACCTGCAAACTTCTCTCGATCAACTCTGCAAAAGACTATAGGGAGCTGCAACAATGTTTATGATGAAAAAACATGCGAGTTGAAAAGTTTGTGTTAAATTTAAGACAAATTTTATAGTTCACGTGTCCTAAATAGTCCACCTACATTTTGTATTAATTTAACCTAAGATAAATAAGTTAAAAAAAGTAACAAATATTATACAAAATGTGTGTTAACAGAAAAATGTAATACTGACGCAATTTGTCAGCAAACTATAAAAGTATAGTAAACAATCGAATTGCCAATATGAGCCTTTTGATTATCTTATTTTATAGAAGTATATTTTTCCAGTAAGATTAACATATATTTTATTCACATTCATCTTGAAATTTTTGTTTTAAATATATATTATTCTTATGTTATTTATTCACTAATTCATAAATTGTACTATTTTGACCCAAAGAAATTGAATATCAATTGAAATACCGATGAGAATAAGCTATTTACGGTCAAACTGGATATTGAATGCTTCTATTATAATTTTCGTGTGAATTTATATACTACGTATATGTAGTATACAAATAAATGCGCGTGGAAATTTTTTCAAACTTACAACGCAAACTAATCAACTACCGCAGTACTATCACGAGTTAAATTAACAATTTTTTTTGTTGCTCATTGCAACAAAATATTTAAACAACGTGATCACATTATATTAAATTAACACTGGAATATGTTAAAAACTCGGCACGAAATTTTTCAACAAGGACTTGAATGGATCATTTCTAACATAAATAAAATATATCTTTTTCATCACGCGTGCACGTAATGTGCCGCAACGCTTTTGAAGAGTGGGATTAGAGAAATAACTCAACGGCTTGAGTTATTGGCTATTTCCCGCACGCAAAAGCGTTGCGGTATATAGGGCACATTACGTGCACGCGTGATGAAAACAAAGATAGAATAATACAAATAGCTAATATGTCTTCCTAAACACTCTGGAAGTCATTTTTCAATCAGTAATGATTTATTTTGATTAATCGCGACTTATTATTGTTATTATGAATCTTGTATTCTGCTTATCCAGCTGTAGAACATATATAATGATATCAAGTAAGACATTTTACAAAGAATCACAATGATCATGTCATTCGATACACTTTCGACAGTAGTTTTGTGATAAATTCTTGACATGATAATAATATTAAACTGATTTTTAGCTAAGATAAGTTACAAGTAAATACTTAATAATAGGTGATTCATTATTTCTCATTTATAGGCAAATCTTCATTATTCTTCGTTATTAATAACAGAACAAATTTTAGAAAGGAATTGTCTCCGTACTAGGTTACGTGAAAACTATAATAATATTCGAATATCGAAATTTCTGGATCGCAAATGGTAACGCAATTACGCATACACTTCACGAAACATGCCAGTCACTTCGAATGTCTCCCGGCAATAATTAAAGTTCCGCGAAGTGCCTCCGCTAAGCTCGAATATTCCCCCGCAAGTTCAACGGGTTTATAGAATCATCGGTGTTGCACGGTTGCATGAACTAATATTCAAGTGGCAAATTGGCTCTTCTTGTTTCACAAGAAAACAGTGGAAAAAATTCGCTCGGGTGAATTTCTACTTGGGATCTAGCAACATCACGTGATGCTTTGTTACCTATTTACAGCTTCTTTTTTTATATCATAAATCTCATCGAACATAAAAAATTGAATTTTTTTCAAGATTATACATCACTCCTGCATTTTACCATCATAAACAAAAATTATCTTCCTTGATGATACAGTCGATCATTTTCAGAGACACTCATTGTACTTTACAATCACACAGAAGAGAAAAAGCAAACAAAACGTATCTGAAAGAACTGCGATAGAATAGTTAAGAGAAAAAACTGGTACATTGAAGCTGTATTTTCTAGAGTTACTACGTTTTCTCTAACTTTTTACACTCGGGCCATTAAAGCTGGCGATGTCCGGAAATGTTTTTCAGAAACCACATACACACACATGCGCGCACACATTCACACACACTCTCTTCGAAACTCTCTTAAATCATTCCAAACCAATATGTGATAACGTGATACAATTGCGACGACAATGGTCGCGTTCAATAGACTCAACTATTGCGGAACGGATCCGTGAATGCTCATTGCTATTGGTGTATTCTTTTAGATCATCCAATAGCAGCAATCGCTCACGGATCTGCTCCGCAACAGTTGAGTCTATTGAAAATGTGACCATTCTCGATGCGATTCTTGTTACTCGAGGCGAAAATGTCCACAACAATTGTCATCTTTGCAGAACAACGAGCATGTCACGTGGAAAATTACAGAGCTACGGAACTGAAAACGTAATATAATTTACGTAAATATAAACATAGGATAAAAAAGTGCAAAAATTTTTATTTGACTTAGATTTTGCACGAGAAAAATAACGTCAACTGTCATCGAATTTAACAATAATATAAAAACATATATATATCGTCGAAATTAATAATAATTTAAATAAATAATAATTTCACCACACCCCTTGTTGAAAATTTATTTAGTCAATCTGTTTTTTTTTTGCATATCATATGCTTGAACAAAAGTCTCTGAGCTAGAAAACGGATCAGAAAATTAATTGTACTTTGTCAGCTAAAAATATCTTCATATGCTGATCGCACCTGATCATACATTGGATGTATCTATGTACATGTAAAAAACATAATATAAACAGACGCAGTAACTCAATGATAATCTGCATTACATCAAAGAGAGACTGAGAGAGAAAAGAGAAATTTTGCACTTTCTTCTTTCTTCTCAAATATTCGAAATCATATCCTGATGTCTCTGTGATCCGTAATCATATGTGTTTAAATATTCGATTAAGGTGCACGTGTAAGCAAACATTCAGTTTGGTAAGAAACATCAATCAGCTGATTAAACAAATTGTAGAAGTCAATTTTGTTATACATTTTGATAACGTTTTCTTTTAATCGACCTGTTTGCACGATCAAGTATGTATATACGATCGATTACAAATATGATCACAACGTGCACGTACATGCTCACTGACGATAACTTAGGTAACTTCCACAAGGTTTACAATTTGCAATTTAACCAACTATCAACATTTCTACTGAGTTAAAATGTGTTGATTTTAATCGTGCAATACATATTGCAACAAGAGATCAATGATCTCTGACACAAATTCAAAAAATATTATCAAGCCATGTTCAAAAAAGGATACTCAAAAACTTAAACCTTATTTTTATCTAATAATAATATATTACCATGAAAAGTAACTGATATATTATTTATAATTAAAGATGCCAGTACAAAGTGAAGATACATAAAGGCCATTCTACATAAGACGCAGAACGCAGATCGCGAGCGAAACGTATTTTAGATTGTGATAGGTTGCAGACCGAAATATGAAGGACGCAAGACGCAGGACGCAAAAGTTGAAATTCAGATGTCACGAACCAATCAAATGGCAGCATTCGCGTCTTAAGACATACTTAAGACAGTCTTCAAATAAGAACTGACTATGAATACCGGCCTATGTCTTTGGATGCTACCATGTAATGGCACCTTGACAGATTTGTTAACCTCAATAGTCGTCAACTTTAACGCTCAATATCTCGCTTCGCAGGGAAATCCCGGACTTTTTTTTCTGCCAGATTCTTTTATTTTACGCAAAAACGCGTCGAATGAGCCTAATTTCATCGAAATCGGAGGTGAGGTAGCTCTTGTAAAGAATTATCTAATATACATCTCTATGGAAGTTTGTGTAATTCATGTAATATAAAATAAATGTAATAAATTTTGAAAAAAAAAAAAATGTATATATATATATATATTCCTCTAACCTAAAGAGATATTGATAAATTTTATTAAATTAACCTATTATTTGAAATATATTTCTTGCTTCATTTTTGCTATATTTTTGCGATTACATGTGACAGTAGGCTATGGTTTTTGCCATCAATAGTTAATTAGGCAAATCGCGTTCTATATCTGCCGCGTTTTTGCAGTTACGACATGACGGCAGGCTGTGCTATGCTCAATTCTTGCTGCGTTATTTTTGCTGTCAGTACTGGTTATATCAAGTTATGCTGTATTTTTACCGCGTTTCGCTACCACGATGTGATAGCAAATAATGATTGATTGTTGTTGTATTTTTATCGTTGTGTTATGTTGGCAGGCTAAGCTGTTAGAAAAAGTAACAAGGAGATGGCACGAAATTACAAAATACGAATTGGAATGTAACCTGTACCATTCGAAATGTGGAGTCGAGAGTGTAAAAAGCGTAAAAGGGTTTGGGTGCATAATAAGCCCTCGTTGAAATTTGCATGTGAAGTTGAGCAATCGGCCTGCTACGTGGTAAGTACTGTCAGAGATGGTACTGTGAATAAGGATGGGTAAAGCAAGGAGCGCGGTGGCCAAGAGACCTAAGGCGCACGTACTACTTTTACATCTGACGAAAAGAGTTCGAGACCACGCAATATCAAATTTTTTTTTATTTCATCAAAATGTCATTTTATATAATTATATATTTATTTACGTTTAAATTTATATTAAAACATTATATTATTTATGTAACACAAATTATTAATTGTTTCATTAAATGTTCATGGTGTGCGGCTCACTTATGTTTCCAATATGTTTTTACATTAATTTTCACCCATTGTTCGGCGAATTTTATATGATAATAATAATAATGAATAAAAAAATAAATATATAAAACGAAATATTATTTTATAAAATGTTCGTGACGTACGACTCATTTGTGTTTTCAATGTTTTAATATGAATTTTAATTTACAATATTGTACGGTAATGTTCGAATTTTATAAATAAATAAACGTAAATAAATATATAAAATACCGTTTTTTTATGAAATAAAAAAAATTTAATACTGCGCGTGGTCTCGAACTCTCTTTGTCAGATGTAAAAGTAGTACGTGCGCCTTAAACCGTAATCACACTAGAGCGATTGTGATTGACATTGAGGATTACTTTTCAACCAATCAGAGCAAAATAGTCACTGATTGCTTTGCTCTGATTGATTGAAAAGTAATCCTCAATTATCAATCACAATCCTAGTGTGATTACGGCTTTAGGTCTCTCAGCCACCGCGGCACCGCCGCGTTCTCCTTGCTTTACCTCTACTTAGTTCTCTACCTCTACTTATTCACAGTACTTACCGCGCAGCAGACTGATTGCTCAACTTCACATGCAAATTTCTCTTAAACGAGGGCTCATACGCCCAAACCCTTTTACACTTTTTACACTCTCGACTCCACCTTTCGAATGGTTCATCCAATTCGTATTTCGCAATTCGTGCCATCTCCTTGTAAGCTTAATGAGGAAGCAACAGCTTGATATCTGCTGTAACATCATGATCAAGTTTGCTGGCATACAGCTAGCATTTTGCTATCTGGGTAGGTATTTACAATGTTGCGATATACATAAGTATGAGACAGATTTTGATCAAACACTATGACGTTTTATACAGAGGTCTTATCGGCGGACGAACCAGGATCAACGCAAGATTTATCACGGGTATAAAAGATCTTGGCTGCAGCCTAAAAATATTCTCGAGGAAATAGCTCTGAATTTCTGAAACTCAAAATCGTATATTTATATGTTTATAAAATTAATTTTAAAAATTGGATCATTGTTGCAATCGTTAAACATTTTTAGTTGCTATTGAGAGTGCTTTTTTGTGATACCCTTTTCAGATATCCTAATCGTTTGTTTTTTTAATAAAATCTCAATAAACAAATAATTTTAGTATTAATTAAAAATATAAAGATATACAAGGTGTCTTAAACCACCCATACACTCCTTTTATCTTTGCAGGGCAAGTTCAAATGAAACAATAAAACATATGATCAGACAATATAGTTTTAAAGTTTAAAAAAATTTATTACTAATCATATCATCAATTTGACTTTTTGAGTGGCGTCACCAAGGTCAGATCAAGGTTACATTGATTTTTTTTTTTAATGGAAATTTCCACTTCTTATTACATATTTTATAGCTAATCTTGAAAGCTTTTCACAATACTATAATAAAATATTGTTTCATTGTACTTTTGGAGTTATAAGATTATAAGGTTTGAAAGACCTTATCCATCAATTAGCATTATTTAAGGTGTTCAATTGATGGTTAAAACCTTTCAAATATTGTTCAGAATCATAATCTTGACATCATATATCAAGATCAAAGCCTTTGGAAGCTTGTTCAAAGATTTACGTAAAAAATACATTTTTATTCTAATACTAAAAATAAAAATAAAAGGAACAACCTCTAAAGACTCCTCCTATGCATCGGTGTAACTTTCAAGTCTTATAACTTAAAAAGTTATAATTAAATTAATTAACAAAAAATATTTTGTTACAGTGTTTTGAAAAGTTCTCAAAATAATCTATAAGAATATGTAATAAAAATGTAAGTTTTCATTTAAAAAAATCGATGTTATTTTGACCTGATCTTGGTTGCCACTCAAAGTTGAAGATAAGACTAATAGAGTAGATCTTTTTAAAACTAAAACTATATTGTCTGAACATATTTTTAATTGGACCTTGCGAAGATAAAAGGGTGTACAGGTGGTCTAAAACATCTTGTATAAAAAGCCGATGGTTTTAACATATATCAGGCTTAATTTTGTTACATCATTCTGAAAATATCATGTGATGAAAGTTTTTATCGGAAGATATCTTGATGGAAATATGTTACGTTATACATATATGCAACAGGATCGGTTGATAAATAGATAAATATAATGCATTGCCGACATGTACATACACAACGAGTATATAAAGATGAACCGATTGTCCCGATACTCTCAATTACCCGAGTATCATTTACGGAAAGAATACAGTTGTCTAATACGGCGAATAAAAGAATATATTAAAAATGGAAACCGTCGATGTCACCAAGAATAATGATATTAACAAACTGTTCTCTTTTGAAGAAATGGAGGAGGTAACAAAACGCGCGCTGAGTAATGACGCCAATCTAATAGAATACACTATTCGACCGTACTCCGATGGCAGGCTCGGGTATCTCAGTTCTCATTATCGGGTCAATATAACAGCTATGAGAAAAAAGGAAACCTTTACTCTTTCATTCTTTCTCAAGACCGTACCTTACGAGGTACCTGATTCAGCCGACTACGTGATAAAAAAGGGTGTTTTCAAGCAAGAAACAATGTTTTACAGCGTTATAATGCCGTTACTTCTCAAAGAATATTACGGAGAAATGTGGGCGGCAATGTGCTACAAAGTAAAGAGCGATTCGATGGTCTTTGAGGAGTTAAGAGATAAAGGCTACTCGATACGAGACAAGCTATTCGATATATCACTCGTACGTGCGGGTTTAAGCGCTCTCGCGCGGATGCATGCTGCTTCTTTGCTGGCAGAAACTCGTCTCGGCACATATTTCAACCGACTGTATCCTGACGCTTTCGTGGAGAGAGGCTTCGTTCACGAAGGAATGACGCGAGAATGGATACAATCAGGCATCGACGTAGCCGCAATCGTAGCCGAACGTTTGGGATACGATCCTGACTTGATACGTTCGGTCTGCGAAGAGGTATATCAAATTGTAAAACCGTCATGCACAAAGACGAACGTAGTTAGTCACGGGGATCTTTGGGCTAACAATTTTCTCTTTAATAACGATGTGCCGCCTAAATGCTTGCTAGTAGACTTCCAATTTATGAGATACGCTCCTTTGGCACACGACGTGGCACAGTTATTGTATCTGTGCACAGATCGGAGCTTCCGAGAGACTTGGGAGAGCACAATGTTGTGTCATTATTATGACACATTGCGGGAAACTCTGAACATTCATGAAATCTGTGTACAAATACCCCCATGGTCAGAACTGATCGAAGGTATGGAGGAACAACGTTTAGGCGCCGTTATTACCACAATACTTTTCTTTCCTACGGTTTTAATGGACGAGAATCTTGCCGCGCAAGTTATGAACAATCCGGCGTCTTACGTCAAGTTCTATTTCCGAGACAGGAAAGAATTTGTACTCTCAAACATGAAAAAGGATCCGGTTTACAATAAAAGGATCAGCGAAGCTGTCATCGAACTCGCCGAGCTTGCCTCGCGATTAGACCAATTCCCGAAACCATCTTAACAAATTAGGTATATATGTATCTTATATAGTTGATTCGTACGCATCTAAACCTATTATTAATTATTTCATCACTATATTCTGTACATCTTTTTTATATTTCAGTTTACAAAAGATGTATCCATCACGATAATTGATAATTTTATCTTAACGCCATAGTTCGTACAGTAATTTTTACACAAATCAAAGAATGTTATCTTGATCGGGAAATATAGCAGTTAAGAAAGACCAGTCGTGACTGGTAAGCTGTATGTTTGTATCCTCGTCCATATCCTCTTTCTCATTTGTCGGTGTGACCACAGATTTCGTCGATGGTAATACTTCGATATCACTTACATCTGAAGTATTGTCCTGATCATTGTCATCACTATCTCTGAAAATTACAAAAAAATTAATATATATATATATATATATTATATATAATGTTTATTCGCATAAAACAAAATAATGAAACCTGACAATTTTAACAAATGTAATTTGCACAAGTTTATTCTATATACCTAGTGTTTTCGGCATTTCTGGAATTCTGACTTTTTAATGGTTGTTGTCCTGCCAGTGACAAAATAAACGACGTGCACAGTAGTCTCATTGGTGGTAAAGTATGAGCGGGAACGCTAAATAACTAAAAAACAAAAACAATGATTAATGTTAAGCAATTGTAAGCGAATATACTCTATGGAACCATCGATCATTGATCATTGATTGAAAAGAACATTGTAGACATTGATAAAACGCTTCGATTTCGAGAAAAATTCAAAAGTATGTTTGTCACGTATGCGGCACTTGTAACATTTGGTCGGTCAGACCACTGGTTAATTAATTTTAAAGCTGACACATCTCCAAGTGAAATTTGTGCAATTCCTGCAATCTTCTACTTCAGATCTAGGTTGATTCGTCTGTTGCAACCTACGAATATTCTTCGTGTATATTTTAGTGACAAACGCGCAATATATGTATTATAGTCGAAAAGTTAAAATGTATTTATAAATTTTGTTAATAAATGTCTATTCTTTAAATAATTTATAATTGTTACAACGGTTTTTCTTTCGAGAATAAATCAATACTTTAAATAATACATTAATTCGCAAAATTATGCAAATTTAATACTCTTTTTAAAAATATTTTAAAGAAAAATGTTCTATTTCATATTTCATAAGTAGCAATAATTATATTACTGAGAATATGATATATTTAGCCCATATTTGTATTATTTTGGTATTTCTCATTTTAAGATGACGCAATTGTCGGTCAATTTCAAAGAATTATGACAATATTCGTGGAGCTGTTCATATGAAAAATGATCGAGATGGCCAGAATATAGCTTATTATTATTACTATAATCAAGACAATTACGTAAATGTAAAGTCTGACGTTTATAACGTGTGACGCGGTTATTAAAGTACTTGCGCATAACAATATGTGAAACGTAGAAAAGAAGATATTCTGATCTATTTTGAGCGCAAAACCGCGTCACATTCATTTTTCTATGCTATTTTTAACGTAGAAAAACACACCTAGTATTTCCATTTAATGCGAATATTTTAATAGACTATAATTATATAGTGATATACACGTCCTAAATTGCAGAAATGACATATAAACAAACTAACGTTATCAGTCGGAAAATTACGCTTGAAATAAGTATGCTAGATAGACAAATCTTGGAATCCTATGGATTCCTTGCCTGACTTGGACCAAAATATGTTTGACCATTTTAATTTAAATACAAAATATTTTTAATAAATATATACATAGAACAATGCACTCTCGATAATAAAATAACATGTAGCAAATGAGAGTAACGACTCAGTAATTAGAGCACAAATTATTAATACATGTATACATATTTAAACTATAAATCTGTTACATTATACTTATTGTTTCATAATAATCAAAATATCTCGAGAACAATGCATTTTTGAAACAAATTTTTCAAATAAAAATTGTAGGGTTTGAAGAGAACCTACTTATATTTCGGGTTTAGAGCTCACTTTAAGCAAGATTTTTTTTCAATGGAAACACCTATATTTTATTGCAGATTCGTATTTTATGGAAAATAATAGAGAAATTTTGGTCTTGATAATTTTTCACTAAATCTCCTTTAACAGATGCAAAATAACGCTCAAACTTTTTATGCATGTACCGGCCAACGAAGGTAGGACCAGCGGACAATTTGGCCAATGAAGGCAATTTATTTCGATATAGGTATTAAAAAAACTGTTTGCTGTTCTTACTTTCGTTTGTCGGTTTGTATTTGAAGATAAGAACTTCAAACGCTATTTTGCGTCTATTAAAAAAAATTTAATAAGAAATTACAAAAACACACACACAAAAGTTCCTCATTATTTTGTATAGAATACGAATATGTAATGAAATATAAGCTTTTCTGTCCAAAGAAAATCATCATAGGCTTTATTGCCCGAAGTGAGAACCTTGCATCCAAAATCTAAGTAGTTTATCTAATAGCACTCTTCAAATGCTACAATTCCTATTTGAAATATTTTTTTCAAAAATGCATTCTCGAAATATTTTGTGTCTAAATTAAAATGACCAAACATTTCGCCAAGTCGAGTACAGAATTCATAGGATTCTAAGATTTGACCATCTAGAATACCTATTACAAACGTGATCTTTTATTCTTAATAATTTTTCACTAAATCTCCTTTAACAGACGCAAAATAACACTTAAACTTCTTATTTTAAAATACATACCAGCCAATGAAGGCAAGACCAGCGGAAAATTAGGCCAATGAAGGCAGTTTATTTCGATATATGTATAAAATAATTTATCTAAATTTTAGTGATAACGTTAATTTTTTCTTATTACTTTACAATTAGGACGTTCTCTTGTAAAATGTATAAATATATTCATCAAAAAAGTCATCAAAAGATATTAAGTCAGCAAAGTCATCAAAGATATAAACTGAAGATATAAACTAAGAAATTCGTAAAATAAAATTTAGATAAATTATTTTATACATATATCGAAATAAACTGCCTTCATTGGCCTAATTTTCCGCTGGTCTTGCCTTCATTGGCTGGTATGTATTTTAAAATAAGAAGTTTATTTTGTGTCTGTTAAAAGAGATTTAGTGAAAAATTATTAAGAATAAAAAATATAAAATGCCAACAAGTTTTTAATTTAAAAAAAGGCATAGTGTAATCGTAAAATATATCATTACAAAATGTTGGTAGTGGTTGTGCCAATGAAACAGATTGATTTAAACTTTGCCCTCTGTACCGGTGTGGCATTTTATTAGTAGGTATCAATCGCAACAATCGAGACGGTCAGCGAAGAAGATAAGACTGTTTTCCTGCTGGCCTGGTTTTACATTTGCAAGCAATCTCAGACAATTCTGTAACAGCATTTGCTATTTTTGCATCACGCCAAGGTGTCCTATTGTAATCGATGCGGTAACTTTGAAAATTAAGCGAAATATAAATCTTATCATATTTTTACATATTAGAATGATAGTAAAGTGATATTTTGTGACATTAATTTTATCCGAATTTTATTTAGATGAAGTCATCCGACTGTTTCAATATTATACAATATATGTATTTCAATAATACATTTTTACATGATATAATTTGTATTGAGATCGTGCCATATCATTAGATTTATAAATCAGATAAAATTTGAAACTGACTTGACTAAATGAAGACGTTTAGATATATGGTATATCTTTGGACATGAAGAATCATAAACAAGAGATTATTCGATTCAAATACTATGAAATATTATAAACTTTTTCTCTCATTTTGACTTATTTCATTGTAAAATATTTCTCCAAAACTTTTTAAGTAAAATAAAACGTGCTGTTACAACACACAAAGTAATAAGTTCAATAATTATAATCAATTTTCAAGATACTTTAAAATTCAAAATGATAAATTCTAAGTATTTTTAATAAGGATGAATAACGACAAATGAAGCTACTTTTAACACGTACATTTTTTATAACAACAGAATAAGTTACGTCTCGCGCGTAACTACTTTCGATAAATTTCTCAATGAGATATATATTTCTCGAATTTATTTTCGACACGTCGAATTAATTATTCAATACGAATGCGATGCATGTTACATTTGCCCTTATCTACTTTTCCCAATACAACGCTACCTTACTGTTCAATTTGCCAGGCCAACTTTCCGCCCACACGAAGACGACTTTATGATAATGCCGTCAAAATAAACTAAAATATATATATATATATACATATACACGTAAGAATGCATATGAATAGGTACCGAAGCAATAGTTCTCGCAATACGATAATTGTGACGTGAGAAACACAGGATTTCCAACGAAGTTTTCCTGTTGTCCAATCGTCCTAAAGGGACAACTAGAACGCCGTGAGAGGGTGGGAGTCTCTATATTAAATCATGGCGAGACTTCTGTTGAAAGCCAGTCGTTCGCGGAGCGTTGGAACACACATGCCTTGTGTCCTGCGATTGTTATAAGAACTATTAAATATTTTTCCGTCTATATATATATATAGTTTTTCGCGTTGAATTGTGTTGATTCATTGACTTCACGCACATAAAAACTGGGTAAAACTGCATGGCGTAGCTCTGTAAAATACTTTGCAGATAGATTTCGATTAATTTGTAATTTTCGCTAAAGGAAGAAACTGTTTGGGAAAAATTTAAAGAGGAAACTATTTGTAGTCATTGATCGAGAAAACGGAATAGGCTGGAGAGAATTTAGAAAAGGACTCGAAAAGAATTCAGAGTTCAGACCTTTCGCACTCCTATTTCGTTAGAAAAAGAACCAGTTTCGAGAATGAAGCTAACTGCGTTAAAATTGATGTCGTGCCTGTTTATCACATTACTACTCGCAGTAATCGCCTTCGGATATCCCGCCAGCAACAGCGAAGTAGTAAGTGTTTTTATATGCGATACCTCGTCAATGATAATATTGAGAATCATATAATTGGAAATTAGCAATTTATCGATTTTGGATCGTCGGAATTTCGTTGGTGTGCAAAATGCGAATAACGCACAAACATAACATTCCTTTTTCTCGCTGAGAGTCAATTATAAAAAATGTACCTCATATTTTTCTCCATTATAAGCACGTGAGATGTAGAAAGTATACAAGTAGACGTTGACCATTGAACGATCCTCCTTAAACTAATCTTTAGTTATCTGAGAGTGCGATGATGCGTCTAACCATATTAAGCCATAGGTAGTACATGATCTCGTAAACAGGAAGACGCTAAAATTTCAACTTTTAATCCTCCTCAGTAGCTTCGACTTGATTTCGATTAATGCGGTCGGTCATTATGTTAGATAATTTTTTTCCTCCTATTTGCACTTTCACCAATTTCAAACGCACTGGTAATTTTATAATTCTTTGTTCACAGTAATCCTAATAATTCTGTTTAAGCTATATAATTTGCAGGCAATTGAGAATATGAGGCAGATTCCACAATGGCACTGTCTCCGCTATAGAAAGTTTGATTTTGTCCGTCGCTGTCGGAATTATCGCTCAGGAAGAAGACACTGACAAATGGACATTCAATATGATCCACGATTGGCAATAATACATTATGGCCAATTTCGTCGTCCAATCATGCAGAACACTCCGTTTCACACACACACACACACAACTCAATAAATTAAATAAATTTAAGTTTATTTAAGTCCAATTTAAATACCTATATTAAATTAAACATATGTTACAGAAACACATAAAAACAATTAAATTTCGCTCGTTTTTTGCAATGCAAAGTATAAAGGAAAAAATGGTCTAAATCGAGTAGTAATAAAATTTGTTTACAATATATAATAAATTTCTAGTTTACAATGTTAATACAACATAAAAATAAAAAATATAAAGATAATATCGAACGTTTCAGATCTCACTCATGGGTTCTTCTTCAGCGATTCTTATGTTACAGTGTCATAGAGATAAAAGCATAATCTGACGGTCTAAGCGACATGGTGTGATACAATTTGTTTGAAGAAATTAATTCTCCTGTTTTTGTGTGAATGTGGAAAGATGCTCTTGTTTTCATTACACAATTTCCACATTCACAGGAGAATCAATTTCTTCAAACAAATTGTACCACACCATATCGCTTAAACCGTAAGATTATGCTTTTGTCTCTATGACACTGTAACATCTATAAGAATCGCTGAAGAAGAACCCATGAGTGTGAGTTTCGAAACGCTCGATATTATTTTTATATTTTTATGTTGTATTAACATTGTAAATTAGAAATTTACATAAAAAATCTTATTACCGCTTGATTTACACCGTTTTTCCATTATACATAAAAGCATTTATATTATAAAAAAATTGAGAATGTTTTTCTGTCAAAAATAACTGCATTAAGTGCGACTAATAGTCATGATAAAAAAAATATCGTATTCTATAATTTTATTTTCATGACTATTGATTTTAAATTTTATATGAGATATGCAAAACAAAATATTAAAATGAATTTTTATATTATTACTTACAGAATATGTATAACTAATTCATTGTTATGTTCTATTCCTTTTTACATTTGATTTAGATTAGTAAACTCTTATTTATTTTACAAAATGTCTCAATTTGTTTACTTAATGTAAATTTGATCTCAAATATATAATTTTTTTTCCAAATAAACAAAATTTTTTATTGGCATACAGCAAGAATATTGTTGACAGAAAATATTTATAAAGAATCCTAAAAGTTGCGAATACATTCAACAGCAAAATTAAAGTATCACTTATCCTGCCTCCTAAAATAGGCAAATTTCAAAAGAGTGTAACTTCGTCAAAAATGACCGTAAAAGAATTTGTAAAAGAGCATTCTAAAGCTTGAAATCTCTACTTTTAAAAATGGTAATTGATATTTTGATTTAATTCTTTGCGAAGTTATGCGGGCACGAAAGTGCGTTAAATCTTAAAAATTTCTACTAACTGAGAAGTTCCATGACATGAATTAAATGTCGTAAAAAAATTCGGTTTTCAGCATTCGAAAGCATGAACCTTTACCTTTAATTTTTTATTGAACTCTGTAGGCAAACTTCAAGGTAAAATAACTTCGTCAAGAATCATCGTATCGAGATGTTTAAAAATCATTTTCAAGCTTGAAATCTTTATTTTTCATACCGGTATTTAAAAAAAAACGATATTACTAATATTTCGTGAAGTTATATAAACATAAGTAAAGATGCGTCAAACCTCAAAATTTTTTACGAAATTTGAAAAGTTCTACGACGCAAATTAAAAATTATGTACAAATGCGATTTGCAGTATTCGAAAGCGTGAATCTTTACCTTTAATTTGTTTTTTTTTTTGTCGAGCTCTGTTAGATTTTTTCACCGAGTTATTCAACATTGAAGCAAAAGTGGTCCTTTTTGCTTTAATGTTGATTAACTCAAAGAAGAAAAATCATAGTTCAACAAAAAAGAAAATTAAAGGTAAAGGTTCACTCTTCCGAATGCTGTAAACCGAATTTTTATGCAATTTTTAATTTACGCCATAGAACTTTTCAAAGTTAGTCAAAATTTTTGACTAACTTTTGAGATTTAACGCACTTTCATTTGTGTCCGCATAACTTTGTAAAGAATTAATCAAATTGAAATATCAACTACCATTTTTTAAAGTAAAGATTTCAAGCTTTAGAATCCTTTTTTACAAATTTTTGACGATAATTTTTGGCGTAGTTACACTCTTTTGAAATTTGTCTTTGGAAGGGGGGGGGGGGCAGGATAAGTGATGCTTTAATTTTGCTGTTAAGTGTATTTCAATTTAATCGTGATATAACAAACATTAATTACAATACTATTTCAAATCGATTTTAATTGTAATACGTTTATTTCATAAAAATGATTTCTAATTTCAGAATATTTATACATAAAGTATGCGACTTGAAGGAATCTTTGCATAAAAAAACTTTGAAACTCAAAATTCTACTTACTTCTTGTATCATTCCTATCGCTGGTATGCCAAGATGTTCATGAACTTGCGCTACAGTCTGCTCTTTATTCGAAGACGTTTTAGTCGCTATTAAGTTGGAGAAGGCGGTCAATGGCATATTTCCTTTGTCTGAAATAATTTCTAAAGAAACACTCGCTTCAGACTCTGGCTCCAGTGTGAGCAATTCCTAAACAGAATATACAATAACAGATAATAAAATATAAATGTATTAAACAAATATTAAAATCTTTCTAGGACCGCGTACAAGTGATAAACACGAACAAGAAGAAGGGAGCCTATAACGGTCAAAGCTGGATCACAGTGCTTATTATAATTATGTGTGAATTTTATATACTAGGTATGTATGATAGTCCCCCCAAAAATCGCGACGCTAATAGTTTTTCAGCATTGACGCATACATACTTACTATCGCAATAATATCACGAATTGATTAACAATTTTTTATGCTCATAGGCATCATGGATCTTAATAGTGTTTTGAATGACATATTAAAATCTGAAGATAATAAATTAAATTAAAATTCCGTATTTAAATTTCTGTAAATAATTAAATCTTTAATTCTTATATATTACGAAGAATATCGCGTAATTTTGACGTTTCATCCCGGCTTCCACTACTGAACTTATCAGTAAGGCATTGTAGTGGAAACCTACCTTAGACGCCTGGGTGAGTTATTAAATCGAGATTTTATATAAAGAGATATACGCATTGAAGAGCTCTGATGGCGGGTCGACGTAGTAATAAGCTACGCAACATTTATCTAAAGTAGGAACAACGTCTTTTTCAGATAAATATTGCGAAGAATATTACTACGTCGACCCGCCATCAGAGATCTATCAATATTCGCAAATTCTCGCAAGTGCTGAGACACGCGTGAATTTATATACTACGTATGTAAATTACACACACAGATTTTTAATGTGCTATTCACAGATTTTAATATGTTATTCATATTATTAAGATCCAAGATGCAATAAGCATTAAAAAATTGTTAGATTCTTAGTCAATTTAACACGTGATAGAGTACTGCGGTAGTTCATTAGTTTGTGTTGTAAGACTGAAAAAAATTTCGGCGCGCATTTAAGGATCTACATACATAGTAAATAAATTCACACGAAATTATATTAGAATTTATTTATTATTGTCGAGCCTTCTCCTAATGTTATTATTTTTTATATCAGAAGCATCCAAGATTCAGCTTGACCGTAAATGGCTTATTCTCATCGGTATTTATGAGGACAAATCAATAAGTTCTTAGAAAATCTGTCAGAGGGCACTCGCAGTGTCATGTCACATTACTTTTTGATGAATTATTCTACTACTTACTTTTTGACAAGTAGCATTATCAGCTGATTCAGCTGATTACTGTCAAATTTTGAGTGGAATTCATCGAAAGGTTTTATTTCTATAGACGATTAAAGCGAAAAACCTTTGTATTTTTTTTGCAAAATGGAAAAAAACAAGTTTCGTACAGTGATCAAACATCTACATATGAAAGATTTAACACCGAAAGAAATCAAAGCCGAGTTGGACAATGTTCATAGCACATCTGCACCAGCGTTTGCGACTGTGTACAATTGGGTGAATGAATTTAAACGTGGTCGTACATCCACATGTGATGCATCTCGTTCGGGATTGAGGCTGCTATACCAGAAATCATCGATAAAGTCCACGATATTGTTTTGACTGATCGACGAATGAAAGTGCGCGAACTTGTTGAAGCCATAGGCATATCACATGGCACAGTGATTTCAATTTTGCACGAACAATTGGGTATGAAAAAGCTATCGGCAAGATGAGTGCCGCGTTTGCTCACTGTGGATCATAAGCGCGACCGTGTGACGATTTCAAAACAATGTTTGGAGATGTTTCAATGTAATCCAGATGAATTTCTGCGTCGATTCATTACTGTGGACGAAACATGGATCCATTACTTCACACCCGAGACGAAGGAACAGTCAAAACAATGGACTTCACCAGCTTCGAAGAAGGCAAAGACCGTGAAGTCGGCCGGAAAGGTGACGGCTACATTTTTTAGGATGCACGCGGTGCAATTCATATAGATTACCTTCCATCGAAGCAAACGATCAATGGCGATTACTACGCAGCCTTATTGGACCGTTCCAACATTTTAAAGAAAAAACGTCCCCATTTGGCGAAGAAGAAAGTGCTCTTCCATCAAGACAATGCACGGGTTCACACGTGCCCGGTACCGATGATCAAATTCAACGAATTCCGCTACGAATTGCTTCCCCATCTAGCATATTCGCCAGATTTAGCCCCCTGTGACTATTTCCTATTTCCAAACCTGAAGAAATGGTTCAGAGGAAAGAGATTCACTACCACAGAGCAGCTCATCGCCGAAACAGAAGCTTATTTTGAAGGGTTGGACAAATCATATTATTCGGACGGCTTGAAAAAGTTGGAGAATCATTAGATCAAGTGTATCGAGCTGAAAGGAGATTATGTTGAAAAATAAAAATGAATCGATAAAAAAAACGTTTTACTAGGTTTTTTCTATTAAAAAAAAAAAAAAAAAAACTTATTGACTTCCCCTTATAGTTTAATAGATTTAAAAATTAATATTCATAAAAAGAGCTTAATAAATTTATTTAATCTAAAAATATACCTGATTCGAATCCAGAAAGAATAATTGTGACTTTCTTTGCCATTGGCCAAAAGAAGAATTACGTTTTTCCTGTAGATGAGGTACGAAAGTAGCCGCTAATATAGAACTGGTATTTTCAATAAGGTACGATTTCTTATAAATAAGTGTTGCACTTTGTGGTGTAAACACATATACTGAAAGCAAATAAATAATCTTTCTGTTAAACATAATATTTCTAATAAACACAATATAATAAGATAAAAAATATACATAATGTGAAATTGTTACATGACAAAAACAACAGCATATATATATATATATATATATAATACACATGTTACAATAGATTAAGATAAAGTTTTTCAATGATTATTTTAGTAATAAAATAGATAGTATATGATAAAGAGGTATTTATATACTGTACAACATACATGAATTGTCAGATGTAAATGCTGCCATGTATGTAGATTTTAAGTCACATGTGAGACTCACAACATTCAAGGGTACACTCCATATTATAGCAAGAATTAAAATATTCCAAACTGTTATGTGCTGCTGAGACACAACCACAACAAGATGACAGGCCTCATGTTTGCCGAATTCTATTCGTCTATTGTAAACATTTTACAATTACGCCTTTATAAACGATCACTTTCCATGTGTTTAGATAAGAATATACTTATTAAGGTAATTATAAGATGTATTTTATTTTTTGTGACTTACATTATTGGTTCATTATACTGAGAATGTGTAAGACTGGATTTTAACTCGCAAGTTTCGGGTAGCCATAAAGTTAGGGTAGAATTAAAACCAATAGCTAATAACGAACCATCAACTGAAAAACCCGCATCTGTAGCTGCTAGATTGCGATAGTCTCCAACTCCATAACAATACCAGTGTTTTGTCTCTTTGTCTGTACAAATATAATTGTAACAAATAATGATATACATTTTACTAAATTTTAATAACTATTTTATTACATAAAATAGATAATTAGATATATATACTTTCTACAGTGGCCGATTTTCTCAAATTCCATAATTTAAATTTATTATCTCTCCCAGTGGTAACTGCTAACCATTCTCCATCGTCAAATGTCGTATCTGGTTGAAAATGTAGTGCATTTATTCCATTTTCATGAGGTAATTCAATAGATGTATTTAATACAAATCTAGAATGTTGATAAGTTATATATTGGTATTGCAGTGTTGGTCTAACAAATATATTGTGTAATAAATAAAATTTATATATATTTACATTTGCTTTTTCAAATCGTAGAACCAGAATTTTAATCTAACTTCTATAGATGAAACTTTATCATTTCGTTCTTCAACTGTTGCCATCCATGTACCATTATGATTTAGAGCTATTTTCGTAACTTCTGTATTTACAATAATTACATCACGTTCTTGGGTCAGAAAATTTTGAGCAGTTATATTAATCTGGAAAATTTTTTTAAGTTTTATACCAATGTATTCAAATAAATAAAATATCAGAGTTTTATTAGTTTTTTTACTTATTTATTCTAATTTTTGTTTCATATCTTTTGCTTTTAATATATAAGTCTACTCACATTATACAACAGATTTTTTGTATGAATGTCGTAAAATTGTACATGTCCAGTGCGACTATTTAGAACAAGACTACCTGTTCTTGGGTCAACGATAAGCCCCGCAGGAAATAGATCTTTGGACGACGAAGTAACACCCCATGTAAAGTTTTGTATCACTGATGTCAATTTCCTTTGAGGATTTACAATAACAATACCTTACAATCAAAACATGATTAGTTATTAAAAATTTGCTATATTAACTCAAATTTTCGTGATAAAAAATTTTACCATTATCTAAAGTTGATACAGCAACATATAAATTATCTGGTGCAATAGTAAGATGTTTAATAGGCGCTGGTAATCGTGGAAGAAATGATTTATGTTGAGGATTTGCTAAAGTCCATTTTACTAATACACATTCACCACCACCTGTATACATATGGCTACCTGAAAAATAAAAAAATATGCTATATCATGCCACATTAACTTACTGCTTTGTGAAAGATACTTTGTAAATATAAATTTTCAACGCCTATTACCTGACTTACTAAACACTATTTCTATAACTGGTAATGTATGCCAGTGAAAAGTAGCTGTATATGGTCTAGTTTGGAATAAACTTCTCCATACTAATACTCGGCCTGTAGAATCTCCTGTGGCAACACATTCTTCTTCTGGATGTCCTGCTATACAAGTAGGTATTCTACCAGTTTTACCAGTCTTATGTCTACAAAATTAAGTACTTAAAATATGTAATATTTTATCATACACATTACATATAATCTCAAAATATCTTACATTGTATCAACTAAATTTCTAGCTGGATTTAATATATGTAAATCTGTGTCATGTAAAAGTGCTATTAAATTCTCTCCATGATTCCCAATTATATCAGTATAATACTCTTGTGATTTAGTTCTAAAAAAGTAGATAATAAATTATTAAAAATCATAAGTTATGTAACTATCAAAACAAACTTTAATAGAAATAAAACATATTTACAGAATATATATTGATTTTATAAATGTTCCAGTTTCTATATTAAATAAAAGAACATATATTTTGTTCCCACAATCAGAAAGATGAGTTATTAATATTTGACATATTTCGTTTCCTTGAGCTGTTCTGTGTTTTACAATGTGAAAGGTTTTAATTTTTGCTTTGTTCTTTGCTAGAAATTTTAATTGCTGTAAAAATATAAGTATATAGTATTATTTAATACCTACAAGTTTATAAATAACAAGAAAAGTTAATTAAGAAATCAAAAAGTTAAAAATCCAAGTAATGAAGTACATGAATTGAAAATTAATAACAATTACACATGTATTATCTAATCCAAATATATATTAAAGATATTTACAAATAAAAGAAACATTAGCAAACAGAACATTTTAAGCACTTACTAATTTCTTAGTAATTATTTCACTTTGGCAATTCCAGAAATATAGTTCACCGTTTTCGGTACAGCCAATAATAATGCTGATGTTATCTGGATGCGGTATTAATCTAGCAATTCTGTAATCCAAGGGTTCAAACTCTCGCACAAAGTCTCCCGTTTGTGTGCTGTATACCCTTATGACATTCTTCCACACTATGTACAGAGTTCTGAAAAGCGAAATGTCCATTACACATTAATATAGCTACATATAATGACCTAACTAAACTCAAGGAAATAAAATAGAACTTGAAACAGAAACTAAAATAAAACTTACTCTCCATTGCTAGAAAACAGTGGGCGTTGATCAATTATACTTCCACCGCCTTTCCTCTTCACGATCATATTTCCATCGCCTTTCATTTTTACAGTCATATTTCCACTGTCTTTCTACTAACATGTAGACGCATGGTAGGTAGACGCTACGATCGCTGCCTCGCTCCCTCTCGAGATGAACGTGGTACATACGTGGTTCCCGCAGCTCGAAAATGGACGTTGGTGCCGCTAGGATAAAGCATTACATAAGAGATCCTCAAGAGATGCGCGATCTGAAATCGCTACTCTACAATCATTCCGCTGCTCTACTTTCTGCGATTGTGATTGGTCTCGCTTAGAGTCCCTATATCAGAGTCTGGCCACTGAGGCCTAGTGAAGAATTAAATGGCGTCTATCACATTACTTGTGTCTTTGACTATATACCTCTAGACTGCTAGTTACCCCCACTTTTCCTACCTTTTCCATAAGATAGAAAGAGAGGACCGTGTATCCAAGATCTCAGGTCCGGAAGTTGGCCAAATCAAGAACTAACTAGCTGCATTTCGAGTAATGCCTAATTCACACTAGATGCGATGAGCGATATCCAATAAAAGCTCTGCTTTAGCTCACACGACGATGTAAAGCAGAGTTCTTATTGGGCGCATTCAGCAGAAAAGAGCGCTACGAGAGCGCTCGCTGTTATTGGTATATTCTTCCAGATTTAAAATTCTGATTGGATGATCTAGAAGAATACACCAATAACAGCGAGCGCTCTCGTAGCGCTCTTTTCTGCTGAATGCGCCCATTGGTTATCGCGCATCGCTCATCGCGCGTAGTGTGAACTAGGCATAAGAATCGGTACAATCGGGACGCGTGTGAGGTATACAGTCCTGCAGGAGCAAGTTCAACAAAAGAAAAAGATGTGTCATTTTATAAGTAAGTTAGATTTTGTGAGATGTGAACTTTACATCTGGAACACTATTTACTTTTCTCCATTCAAGTAATAATAATTTAAACAATTGTGCTTCCATAGGATTCTAATCTTACATTCATATCCATTTTATATTTATTATTATTATTATAGAGAATATTCTTTATTATTATGTATTTCTAATATATGTATATATATATATTTGTATGGTATACATATATTAGAAATACTTAATATAGGGACTCTAGTCTCGCTGTTCCGTTCCGCTATAGATTTCCGCTCAATGTGACTTCAGTCTAAAGCGCGCTTTGAATACGGACTTAATCGGTATGACAGATTTCCTAACCTCCATACTCGTCAACTTTTAATGCTTAATATCTCGGTTCGCGGGGCAGAGTGACGCTTATTTCTACTAAATTCTTTCGTTTCTTGCAAAAACGCGCCGAATAAGCCTAATTTGATTGATTTTTGAGCTACAAAACTTATTCTATATAATTACCCTATTTAGTTTACCAAAATTTGAGGTGATCTGGGCATTTTAAACCTTTAACGAAATTATTATTGTTGTGTGTCATCTTACTATAAAAAAGTTATTTGTCTATAATCTGTCTCGTTTGACAACTTTGATAAATGACCGGATAATTGGTTACATAATCTTTAAATCAAACATGAGTAATAGTATAAAAATTGTAATTTTAAAAAAGGTATATTTTCTATAGTAAATAAAATGTTCAATGATTTGAAATTTATTTTTTATTATTATTTATCTAATTATATTTTTTATTTTTAGATTGCAGAATCTTTATCAAATGATAACAATATAAACATATCCAATGTTGCGTCTTATTTATATTTGAAAACATGTAAAACAGAAAGAATCTATTCTTTTCTACTTCCATTGAAAACTCTACAATACAATATATCAAAAGAAGCACAGAATATCATAAATCATGAACCAAATAGTATTTTTGATAATATTAATATAAAAAACAATGCTATCTCTTTTAATATTTCTAGAGACAGATGTGTTAAAGAAGTTTTGGAACACAACTGTTCAACAGTGTCAGCCCCAACTTTTGTGAATAATAAAAAAAATATAATAGTAGAATTTAGTTCACCTAATATTGCAAAACCTTTTCATGTAGGACATTTCAGATCTACAATAATAGGAAATTATGTTGCTAACATTAATAGCTTTGTAAACAACAAAGTAAAAAAAATAAATTATTTGGGTGACTGGGGTACACAATATGGCTTAGTTCATTTAGGAATCAATGTGACAGATATTAGTGAAGATGAAATGAGAAGAAATCCTATGAAAGCCTTGTACACAGCATATGTTAATGCCAACAAATTGGCTGAGACTGATTCCTCCATATTAGATCATGCAAGAAAAATATTTAATGATTTGGAAATTGGTATAGGAGTCACACATAAACAGTGGAACATATTTAAACAGTATACTATTGAAGAATTGAAAAGAGTTTATAGCAGAATTGGTATTACATTTGACGAATATCATTTGGAATCTATGTACAATGCTAAAAATATTGAGAAAATAGTTACTTTGATGGAAGAAATGCAATTATTAAAAAGAGATGAACAGAATAGAAAAGTTGTGAATCTAAGCAATGAGAAAAACGTTCCTATAATCAAGAGTGATGGTTCCACTTTATACATAGCTAGAGATATCGCTGCAGCTATTGATAGATTTGAAAAAAATGATTTTGATTGTATGTATTATGTGGTGGATAACACACAAGCCAGCCATTTCTCAAATTTATTAGAAATATTAAAACGAATGCAAATGTCATGGGCTGAAAGACTAAAACATGTCAAATTTGGTCGATTGCATGGTATGCGTACAAGAAAAGGAAATGTTATGTTTTTAGAAGATATCTTAGATACTGCCAGAGATATCATAAAGCAGAAACAAATTAACTCGCATAGTATGTTAATTTTTATATTAATTATGTAACGTCTAAGTTTATATTGAATTGGTTTTATAATAGAGCAACTGTTTTAGCCACTAAGGTTCATTTAAATTCGTCTAACAGCTCGGATATATTAGGCATTTCTGCAATCATAGTTAACGATTTAAAAAGAAAACGAGGACGAGATTATACGTTCGATTGGAATGCGGCACTTGATGTAAGTGATCTATATGTTATTGTGTGAAAAATTATCTGATTTTACATGCGTATTAATTAGTTTTTGTCCTTATGTTTTTTGTAAGGTTAGTTGAAAGGAGACACTGGTGTGAAATTACAATACACCCATTGTCGACTAGTAAGCTTGGAGCGCAATTGTGGTGCTATTCTAACTTCAAAATGTGAACCAAGTCTATTACAAGAAGAAGTTGTGGATGATTTAGTCATATTAATTGCCAAGTTTGAAGAAGTAGTGCTGAGATCATATGAAGAAATAGAACCTTGTATATTAACGGTGTACCTTTTCAATCTAAGGTATAAGATACAAATTCTAAGACTTTCATTTTTTACAATTGTCTAACTATGTACAATATGTACAAAAATATGCGCAAATTTTCTTGTTTTTTTTTTTTTAGCAATGCGATTAATAAAGCTTTTAATTCATTGAGAGTAAAGGATGAATTGCCTGATGTTGCTAGTCAAAGATTACTGCTCTTTCATACTGCTAGAAATGTTCTCGCACAAGGTATGAAATTACTTGGTCTAATACCCCTGGAAGAGATGTGAGGGCAAGTCGCTATGTGTGTAAAAGAAGTGAAATTGTAGCATATTGTGTGTCCTGCTTTCTTGGTAAGACTTTGAATAGGAAAATTATGCGTCTGTTTCCACTTATTCAATATCAAAGCTTTATTTTTTTGAATACATTTTATTGTATAACGAGATACTTTTCTATGGTGCTGTTTCATATAATTTTAATGTATGCAATGTGAAAATTACATAATAATAAGAGTTAACGTTTGTTCCAAGCAAACTTTCTTCTAGCACCTTCTTGACCCCACTTCTTTCTTTCGCGTTTTCTCCAGTCCCTTGTTAGAAGTCCAGCTGTTTAAAAAGAAGAATAATTTTTTTATTATCTATTATATAAATTTCATTAGCATTAATATAATTTTATTGCAACACGCCCACGCGTGCGCGCGCGCGCACACGCACGCACTGTATCAATATATTTTGTTAAATTGATTGTTCCTTACCAATTCGCATTTTGTCAATTGTAGGTTTGTCAACAAAGCTACGTAAGCCCCATGAAATACCCCAACGTACAGCACCCGACTGACCAGTAGGCCCTCCACCATTAATTGTGGCTTCGATATCTACTTTATCAGTCATATTTGTAAAAAGTAATGGAAAAATAATCTGCAACAGATAAAATATGCAAAAACCATGAGAGATCATTTCATTTATAAGATGACATTAATATGATGAACAATAAAAGACGAGGAAAAACTGACTTAGATGTTAGATATTCCGAGATGTTTTTAAGATAATGAAAAAGAAAAGGGCTACGAGCCAAAAAAGTCGTTAAAATATACAATTAGTAAATAAAAATTGTCACTTAGTTGAAATTACGTAGTTTAATTAGAAACAAGAAATATACGACAAAAGACAACAAACATTTCGACCTCTATTAGATTATTATCAATATTACAATGATCGTAAATTGTTAACAAATGCACGAAATTATAAAAATTTAGAAAATAAAATTTTTTAAGAAAGAGTGATACTTTTTTAGATAAAATAAAATTGAAAGCTATGATAATTTTTTTTATCAATAAAAATCCAAAGTTACAATTGCGCAATAATTACCTTTTACTTGTAAAAATATTTATAGTGAAAGAGAAAAAAATATATATATATATAACATAATACAAACTGCTGAAATATCGGGAATCGTACCAATATTAAATTATTAAAATTACAATGAAGTAGTATGTTCTTTTTTCATCAATGTTATTGCAACATTTTCTAACATCTTGTTCATTTCTAGTAATTGTACTCTCAGCAATTTTATAGCATCTTCATTCACTTTCATCATAGCGGTCAGTTTCTCAAATGTCATTTCTAGTGCGACATCGGAGAACCCATTATGTTGGTGTTTCAACCAAATAGCGTGATCACTCAAATTGATGTCATTCATAAATGAGGGAATATTCTTCTGTGCTATCTCATAAGCGACTTTCATTATATCCTTAGGCAATCGTTTCTCGAGAGGATTAAGCGGTTTTACCACAAGAACCTGTTTCCTATTTTCAACATCAATCTTGTGATCCGACATCCATTTCCGGAAGGCATATGGAATTGCAGTATTGTGCAGTACCATTTCCGTAAAGAGGATCATTTTCGTCTGCCGTACTAGCTTCGTAAGCCCCGCATGATTCCTCAGACCTTGTATATCATGTACAGCGATACCGACTAGTAAGTTCATCAGAATCACAGTGACGAATACTATGAACAGCGTGAAGAGAATCTGCGAACACACTGATAAGATAGGGTAATAAATGACAAAAGAGCCGCCCATCGGTTTGTCATCCATCTGGTTGATGAATGCTTCGAAGTCCAATTCACCGACCATCATAGCCAAGACTTTGATCAATCCAGTAAACGGATTCCCGAACGCAGGTTCGCTAGCGAATATCACACAGAAGCTGATAGTAAAACCGATCAGCAAACCCGAATATGCTAACAGAAGTTTGGCGAACTCGAACTGGATATGCGTAAACATAGCGACATAGGTACCGAAGGCTGGTAATTGACCAACCATCAGCATTAGATTGGTCCAGGCGCAAAGAACGGCAAACGCGCCGACGTAATTCTGCCAGTCATAAGTACGACCAGTATACACGAAGGACGTAACGAATACACTCACAATCACTATGCCGTCCAATACATTATCAATGCTGGAAAAATACTGTAATGCCGATTTGTAAACCATAAAGCCATATATTTTTCTTGGTATGGTGATGCATGTCAGAACCAACGCAAGGTACCATTCAATTTCGATAATTGATTTTCGAAAAAGAAAGTCAGACGGTCGTCTGCTGCCGCATATCTTGGAGCTATTGGTTTCATTTTCATTGTAACATTTATACGCTAACGCGGTCAGGACGTAAGTAGTCATACATATCACTGTCATAGAATACAAAAGTATCCTTAATAAATAGAGCTTGCGAATTTTCTCCCATTTCAGGTGTAGGAAGGCCATAACCAGCGGATGCGACAACAAGTCCTTTCGGTGCTCTTGTACGAAAGTATTTATGAAACTGGTTTCGCACTGATTACCGCTAGGGAAGAGAATGTCGAAGTGCAATCGCATTTCAAACTCACGATTATGTGATACCGGTCGGGTCAGTCTAATGGAAGCGTCCAACCGCTGTCGGAACACGTGCAGAGACTCAGGAATCTTCTTCAATATAATATTCAGAGCGGATAATCCAGTGCACGTGGTCGCGCTGATGTCAGCGCCTGCCCAGATGAGTGCATCCACACATCGAGATTGTTCGTTCAATGCGGCAATGTGAAGAGGCGTGAAACCTGTCCGATCGGCCGCATTTATCAAAGCGCCGCGTGTCAACAACAACTGTACTAATTCGGCGGATGAGTCTGTACTCATTACGGCGAAATGCAGGGGTGTCCTGTGCTCTCTATCCACGGCGTTCACGTTGGGCGTGCTGGCTGAAAGTAGTTCAACGCACGGTATCGATTGCACGAAACAGGCCACGTGCAACGGCGTCTGGCCTAAGTGATTCTTCTCGACAACACTGGCACCACGTTCAAGTAACAGCTTCACTGTCTCCACCGCCATCGCACGGACGGCACTATGCAGAATTGGCTCGATCACTTCCTGACAGACATAATTGAGCTTAGCGTCATGATCCAGTAACGTAGCTGCGACGTGCCAGCTGTTACCGAGTGCCGCGAAATGAAGAGGCGTGTAATGAGTAATAGGGTTCTCGTAATTTACGTTGGCGCCCTTCGCGATCAGATATTCTACGCAAGCGACTTTGTCACCCAACGAAGCCGCGAGGATAGCATTCACACCGGTCCGCGGTTCGACGTAGTCGTAACACGCTCCGGCGTCCTCTAATTCCGGCAGAAGATTAAGCAGACCACGGTAAGACGCCCAGATGTAAGCAACATTTCGTAGATTCTCGCTTTTGCACGCATTTGGAAGTACCCGACTCTTCTCCATGTACAGTAGTAACCTCGTCTCCATCGTGTCGACGATGGACCATATAGCCGATCTCAATTTGGCGCCATTCATGTAGTGATTCTTGTAGCATTCCAGATTGTCAAAGAAGAGGGAATCATCAATTGGTGGTGGTACACCGGCGTCAATCTCGATTTGATCATTATCGAACTTTGGTATAGTTGCATCATCGATCATAATTTTTTGCGGACAATCCTCGGTTACACATGCACATCTCAATGATCTATAAGTGGAGGCTAATCTTACAGACAGAAGATCGTTTTTGTGATGACTGTTGAAGCTTTTGGAATAAAAATGTTCCTCGTCATTCAAAATTGTCTTCAAACTATTCGTCTCGAGATTTTTTACTTTGACACTCTCTCCTAACGAATTTCGATCGTTCTCATACATACTCGCTTGAATTATTTACTTCACTGTTTATTTACGATTCGAAATAAATTTACTATTTAACTTCACTCTTATTTCTTTTAATAAAAATTTAAGCATATATATCTTCCTGTATGTAGTCTTATTTTATTTCCATTATTGTCGATCTAAACGATTTCATTATCGTTATTTTTTTCTGTTATCATAGGTTTTCTATATTCTTGCTTACAAGAACTCATATTATAGATATTATCTTGAACGATTGGTGATTAAAATAAACCGTGTGATGAATATGTATATATGTATACATATATAAACAGGTAAACTTACAGTTGAAAGTGTAAGTTTATTAGCGTGTCTCCTGATCTTGTTACTTTTTGCTATTTTTCTTGGAGTTATTTTAGCCAATAGATATATTATGTTGTACAATATTTAAATTTTTAATGCAAATATCGTTTCGTAATTAAGTACTAAGTATTCGTATACCGTTATGCGATGAGCCGCGAAGCATCCTAATTATTGCAGTAGCGTTACTGTCTTTTCAATTCTGTCTTCTTTCTCGTTCTCTCTTCTTCGGTTATCATGTCCTGCCTACAAATCGTTTCGTTTAAAGCACTTTAAGAGAAGATTAGTGTTGTGTGTTACGTTATATCTCGAGTGCCTTATATCCAAGCCGCTCTGATTTAATAACTTGCATTCATTGCGGACAACTTATGATTAATATCGGAATACAATTTGACAGCCGCAAATGAAGAGAATAAAAATAAGTAAAGGTTGCTTTCTTCCAAGACTTTTCCCGCCGCATATTATACTCATTAAATTTCTCTTATATTAGTAAAATATTACAGAGTATACAGTATATACTATATACTTTTAAGTTTGTCAACATACTATATACTTACAAGTTACAAGTTTATCACACATACATTAGCAATCTTATCTCCTTTTCAATTTGCGCCGTTAGTAGTATTGTTGCTCTTCGTGTACTAGTATTTCTTCTGTTCTTCATGCGTTCCTCTGAAGGCTCAATATTAATTTTTCTATTAATTTGGCGAATGCAAGTTATTACGTTATTAAGAATCAAAGTGGGTCTGTGCGTAAGAACTTCAAGTAATACAGATAGTATGATGAGTTTACATTTTTCACTAACACCGCACTCTCGTCTTCTTCTCGCTACCGGCTTCGTATACCGTCACTTCGTGTTTTCGTTTAATGCTTCTACTTTCTGTGAAGCACGTATTTATAAAAACCTAGTGAATGGCTGAAGAAACTTCAAATTTTCGACTCTAGAATGCAAAAACAGTCTAAGAAGGATTTCGGCCGCATTTTCTAATCGTAAAAAATATGCCTAGCCAGCTCAAGATGCCTATCATTGACTATAGTGTACAATTGACAATTCAGCGAGCATTACAGCGAGCTTAACTAGTTTGTACGATCGCACTACACGTACTGCATGACGTACTCTGCATACTTCTGTCGTTTATGTGGGAAGAATAATTTACGAGTAGAGGGGCAATACAAACAAAAAATACATAAACATAAAAAAATGTAGGTCAAATTTGAGATTTATGTTACGTATATTCCCACGTATACGAGCTGTCCTTCTAAATTCCTGATTAATCTAGATCTGACTGGAAAATATCGTTGAAAAATCACTTAAGTTCTTTAGGACATTATTATTTACATATGTTATCGTTAAAAAATATTGCTAAACAGATATTTGTGTTCTTAATCAGATGTAACGATAAATCGTTTTCTTCTTGTTGAAAATTAATGGTTGAATAGAGAAATAAGAAAAAAGAAAAAAACATTCTTATCAAAGTAGAGTGTTTTAATTATTAAAAAAAATATAATTTTTCCAATTTTTATTTAGAACTTCAAAAATACAGTATAAATAGTGAACAAATAAATCAATTGTTACTTATTAGTCCTTCCTATTTAATTTTGTTTGCGCGTATTATCTCTTTCTTTATCTAATATTTGACTTTTTTTATTACAGAAAATATTTTATACCTTTTTTTTTATAGTTTTTCGAATCTAAATTGCGAATATCTAGGCAAACTTCTTTCATTGTCATGTGATTACGAATATGATATCACAATCCGTTTACGTAATTTTTAATTCTATATTCATTTTAAGTACATTTGCAAGATCTCTGCCAAGAGATATTTTTGAGTTGCTCGCTGCCTATGAATTATTACATAAATAAAACATTACGTATAAAATGAATATTTCATGCTTGTACTTTAATGAAAAGGGAAAAGTAACTTTCGAATAGTCTCAAATTAGACACAAAATAGTTTTACATCGCGGTGATTTTATTTGAACCACGAGAAACCTTCAGTTCCATAACGCGACGAAATATGTAATGCATTTTTTAAATAATTTTTTTATGTAATAATAACAAGAAAGAAGTAAGCACAAAGCAAAGCCTATCACGGTCAAAGCTAGATCAAGATGCTTATTATCATTATGTGTGAATTTATATATCGCGTATGTAGTTCTCTCAATCGCGTGCCGAACATTTTTTCAGACTTACAACGCAACTCTAAATAACTACCGCGGTAATATCACTTTTAGTTAGATTGACAATCAATCTAACAAATTTCGATGCTTATAGCATCTTATTAGATCTTAATAATATGTTGAAAGACATATATTAAAATTTAATATTAAACACATAATGATAATAAGCATCTTGATCTAGCTTTGACCGTGGTAGGCTTTGCTTTGTGCTTCCTTCTTTCTTGTTATTGTTTAACAATTGTACGGTCGTAAAAATAAGGTTCTATTATTTGTTAAAATTTTTTATGTATTTCTCAGCTAACTAGAGAAATAGAAGGCATCAAATTGTTTGATAGGTAAACAGATATCGCGTAAACAGATAGAATTTATATGCAAGATACAAAGTACATAGTTAACTTCCAATTACCGAGTTTCTAAAATTTTAATCCAATAAATTTTCTTTCAAAAAAAAAAAAGAGATAGATCTGTAACTCAATGCGTTTTATTTCATTACCAGGTTGCTGATAGTTGAACTTTCAACAGAGGAGAACCGGTTTTAACTGCTACGCATATCATTAATATTATATATGTATTTTTTTACTTCATTCATAGTTTCAAAGAGCACAAAACTTGACCAGCGCAAAACAATTTTAAAATTTGTCTATTTAATCTTGATATAAAAATATTTATTCATGTGTTTAACAATTCATTTTGGTAAAAATTTTGCAACAGTGTGTATAGCTTACAATTAGATTCAAATAATATTGTTAAAAAACAAAATAAAATGTTTATAAAATTCTGTTTTTTAAAAACTTATTTAAAAAAGAAATTGAGAGTATAAAGGAAGTTAACATCGAAATATAATGTATAAATTAGTTAATTGCAAATAAACTTTATGTATATGTTGACTCTTCAGAAATAAGGAAACTTTTCTGACAAATCAAAATATTTTACAAATCTTAGAAATGAACAAAATGTTCAGAAAAAATATAAACAAACTGTCCTGTTTTCTCTAAAGTCTCATCGATATACATATGTTTGCATTCACGTCATAAAATTCATGTTACTTTAGATACTAAATACATACTAAATGTTTGAACTTGAGAAAATTACATTTTAAATTAAAGTAAATTAAGTTTTTTTCCTGAGGCAATATTTCATGCAATTATTGCTAAGTTAAAATAAAATAATTTGTTTAACGTAGCATTTATTACATGCATAAAATTATGCAAGCTCCTCTGATGTTTTTTATATAAAATTTATATATGAAAATGGACGGAATTAAATATAACCGAGATTGGACATAATCACATTTGTATCACAGAAAAGCGATATCTTATAATCAAGATTTAGTGTTTGTTGGAAAAAATATAAATCAAGGACTTGCGGTAATTAATTATTCATGATGTATCATAATACCATTCGTTCCACGAATCTCAAGTTTTAGAATCTCTTATCGTTACTCCATGATCAAATTTTAAATGAAACATGAGTCTTTGTGAATTACTTTCCAACCCAAGGATATTTCCGACATTCTGTTTTTTTTTTATATTGACAATTTTATTTATTTATTCTATTATTGTACAATAAGCTTTTATGAGCTCCCGAAGGAGAGTATGATTTTTTTTCGCAAATTTCCTTGAATTCCGCGATGTCTTTAAATTTGTCACAATTGTGTTACAGTATATCTTCGTCGAAACCTCGACAACGACACATGATCACGTCACCTTCGAAACCCGCTTTTATACTATTAGTTTTTCTGCGTGACGCGGCGAAATTGTTCTGTCTATCTCTTGCCTTGGCTATATTGTAAGCAGCCGAGAGAACATCGCGTGGTAATCTCTTCTCTCTAGAACTTAATAGACGAACAGTCAGAACGGCTCATAAAGGTGACGGCAGGAGTAGCGTAGTCCATCGCATACACTTGATGAAACGTTTTGTCGGCATAAATCCCAAAAAATTGCAGTCTCAATGTCGTGGATCAATTTTGTTTAGCGAACGAGTTTTGCGAGACTCGCTGTTTTTTGCAGACCCTTAATATCGTACACGGCTATGTCGATCAATAAATTCATTAGCACGATCGTAACAAAGAAACAACATGAAGAAGAGTTGGGCCGAAATTTGTAGCAAGATCCAAGAAGTCCCTTCATTATTCTCGTAGATACCACCCTTATCAGATGAAACGAAGAAAGAATTAAAGCCTAACTCGCTGGTCATCATCGCGAGGACCTTAATGAGACCTGTGTGCTGAACGAATTGGAATATGGAAAGATTACGCAGAAGCTCGCCGTAAAGCCCTGCACTAATAGGCAGGCGTAGGCCAGAAGTAGTTTAAACACTTGTGCCTGTACACTAGTAAACATGGCGACGTAAGCACCAAACACAGGAAGCTGTCCGATCATCAACATCAGGATTGCTCCAACCACAAACTACAGCGAAGGCGCCTAAGTGACTTTGCCAGACATATGTTTTTCCCGTATACATCAAAGAGGTAGCAAACACGCTCAATATCATGCACCACTCAACTAGGTTCTCCACCCTGTGTGATAAATTGTCTGATAGATCGGGAATAACGGTGACTTTGCGACAAGCCTGGAATAAAATAAGTACCATCAGCATGTACCACTGAATCTCGAGTAGCGTAGGGTGCCTATAAAAAAATCCATGAATCCCGATTTCGTTCGTACACAACGGCGTATTGTGTATGTAATAATCCTTTGATTCATTGTAATAGTTATCAGCGAGAACGGTTGTCACCCAGCTTGTAAAGATCAACACATATATCAGGTAGAAGAATAATTGGGCAACGTAATACTTTCGGATTTTATGCCATTTGAGATAAAGGAAAGATTGGCACAAGGGATGTTCCAGAATTTCTCTGTAGCCCTTCTTCACAAAGGTATTCAGATAACTGGTCTCAGGCAAATGATTCCGCCGATACTGTAGCAACGGACGGAAGTCCAGTTGTAACTAGAGCTTGCCTGCAATGAATCCTTATCGGAGCTTAAAGTTAGAGACTTGTCCAGTCTACGTTCAAATACGTCCAGGGATGTTGGGGTTTTACGCAAAACAATGGATAGAGCACTGTTACCACCGATTGTCCTGGCACTCAAATCCGTTTCGTATTTTATCAGTAGATTCACGCATCGCGACAGTTCGTTCGATGCAGCGATGTTTTAAAAGAAATTGTCTAAACTTTAATTGAAAAATGTTATAAATATAATCATAAGATTGAAAAAATTGTTTACGTAGAAAGATCGGAAAGTTCTTTAACAAACTTTGATCTGTTTTATGAAACACAAGTGTAAATAATAATTTTCAACGCATTTTTACCTGCTGATCCGTCAAATTGTTAAAATTTGGCTATCCCGTTACAATTTTAAGAAAAATAACGATTTTGAAGATTTGTTGTTACTGCGGTGGTCTATTTGATGCTATTTTTCTAAAAATCATCATGTGACAATGTAACTATGGAATGTTCCTCTCCCTCCCCACCCTCCCTCACTCTCTCCCCTTCCTCGCATACAGGTGTGTTCAGAAAAACACTATTAGCACTATTTATGTCATTCTATCTTCATTGTTTATTAGACATAAAATAAAGATAGAATGACACAAACAGCGCTGATAGCCTCTCCCCGCACGCACCTAGAGACATTGCCGAGGCAAGTAGCCACATGAAGTGTTGTTAGACGATGTCATAAGCATAGTTTCAAAGGCATTGATAAAAAAAACTAGAACCATTTGTGTAAAATGTGATGCAATAATATTATGTATTGGGATATGTTTTCGACAATTCCATGAAAAGCGAAATATTATCAAGGATGTCGCAAACTTTTTGAAACTTTTTACTTATTATATAGTATTACTATTAATACTTAATGGTATCATATAAGTTCCTATACAACAATTTTTTCTTTATTAAGCACATTATGCTTATAATCGTTCAAATATCTCAAACTGCAGTAAAGGAAGCACTGAAACTTTATTATCACAATCAATGTCCGATTAAAAAATTTAAACATTTTTTAACTTTGACTCAAGGGAATTACCATTACCGATTTAAAAATTAAAAAATTTAAATATCATTAAAAAAAATCAATTAATGTGCATACATACTGTCTTATTTTAACATAAACGTAGAAATTATCTCCAGTCAAATTATGTTACATATTACAATTTCCGAAGATTTACGTAAAAAACTTAGACCATTATTTAATGAAAATTTAGTATTCTTATGAAGATTTAAGCACAGAATAGCTCACCTGTTCGCGATGCTGTATATCTTCGAAATATGTGATGTCGCGTCCATTAATGACAATCTTTCCAGAACCATTACCCCAAATTGTTACTTCACCTCTTGCAGACTTCCTCATGCAATCTGAAATCATTAACAATAATAAATTTTATGATATATATATTTGCACGCACGCACATACAATAAATATATATCTTTGTTAATTTTCTGTGAATGTTAAAATTATATATCTATTTAATTATACCAGAAGATTTGCGGGTTATCGCCGTGTCTTTCTTCATTATTAATGTCAACGTTTCGCATGGTTCACGAAACGTTGGCATTAATAATGAAGAAAGACACAGCGATAATCCACAAACCTTCTGTATAATTGAAGAAAATACCCGTGAAAGCCCCAAAAAGCGTTATTTACTTACTTTTAACTGTGACATATGGTCTTCCTGAGCTGTCATGTTCCAACTTAACATGTAACAATAAACCTTTACTTTAATTGAAACTTAATTTTCATCATTATATAGATACTTACAGGTAGTACTATTATGTCCTTAGAATAGGCATTAAGAGTTTTTCGATATTTTAAAATGAAATCTGTTACGCATCTTGATAGTGGATGATCGCATAATTGTTCTAATGATGTAATAAGATAGTTATACTGAAAAGATTATTTATATCTTTTAAATCATACGTTACAATATTTTTTCTATAATTAATTAATATGAATACTATTTACCTCAAAATCATTAATATTTTCAAGTAGTTGTTTTTCAATTTCATTCTTTGACAACCACGAAGAACCTAGATCGCTAAAAAAATATATATTTAAAAATATATTTATACTTGATTTTTTATAGGATATTTCTAAAATTATATGTCAAACTATATACATAAACACATTCCATATAAACTAAAGATTCAACATACACTTTGTCCATAGGCAATGTTTCTTGCTTTATTAAAGAATCTTCAATATCATTCAATGATTTGATATTATCAACAATATTCTGTATATAAAAATAATTTTCAGATATTAGTTACTTTCATTTATATGTATATAATAGCTATTTTTTATCAAGGTAATTATTCAGTTGAGCTCTCCAGTCACAAAAATCAATAAATTTAGACTTATTTGACCTGTTTTTGCATAAATTGAAAAAATCTGGCAGAAAAGTATCGCTCTGCCCTGCAAACCGAGATATTAATAGTTAAAGTCGATTACTTTTGGGATGGGTTCTAAAACTTGACTCATCAACTCCCAAAATATTATCTTTGTTGTTCATTGAATGATGAAAAAGAATAAAAGATATTCAGAGTTGACAGAGTCAAGTTTTGGAACACACTCCTGAGGTTACAAAATCTGTTATACTGATGTAATGTAACAAACTAATCACTTTTGAGATTACTACTTAAAAAAAAATTCATTGCTTTAAAAATTCCAAATAAATAACCCATGTGAACAGTGTGGAGTGTATAGACAGTAGTGTTAAAAAAAAAAAATAACATATCCTATCCACTTGGGGCCTAACCATGTACAAGTTGCAACCTAGACAGTGTCCACTTGGAAATTTCCAATTTTCTTTTAACTATTAATATCTCGGTTCATGGAGCAGAGAAACACTTTTTTCTACCAGATTCTTTCGATTTATGCAAAAATGTGTCAAATAAGTTTAAATTTATTGATTTTTGCAACTGGAGACTTCAACTGAATAATTATCAAAACTTACATATAATAACTCATAATAATTTGGTTTTGAGGTATAAAACATAGAATGGAAAGGTCTTCCGCTTTCATCAAATTCTGCTGCTTTCCTGCTTGGAAAAATCTTTTCTGGATGTTCCATTATTGGCCGAGCTTTAGGATCAAAGAGTCCCGATGGAAATAGATATTGGATTGAACTCTAAAAGTAATAATCATATGAGACTTTAGGTATTAACTCATTTATCAAATTAGTATAATTTTGTTATATAATAGCATACATCTATATCTGCTTGTGTAAAACATTCTGGATCTTCGCCCATCATGTTAGCCAGATGTCTTTTCCCTATCTCATATTCTAAGATCTCTTTTCTCATGAATTCATCTAATAAATTTAAATAGTAACTTAAGTATACAAAAATATTGTTTATAAACTATTGGCATTAAAATTAATGCAAAACAATTAGTAATAACAATTATACGAAATTCTTCAAAAATATATATGTATACAAAACACATTAGTTATTACCATGTTCTTTTGCACGTTGTAAATACATCAACATAGCTTTGCTTATCTTTTTCTCAGGTTTCTTCATATTAGTTTTAACTGTTCTTTTAATTTCACTGATAGATGTTGTATAAGATTGTGATTTAATATAATTCTGCAACCGTAAGATAATTAAAGTAACAATTAAATAATTTATACATAATCGAAATGAGAAAGACTGCAATAGACAAACAGCACGATGGCTTCATTACAAAGGAATTGCAAACTTACTGAATACCACGCGGAATCCAAAAATAAAATAACAGCGTTGTTGCTTATACCGACTAAACGTCGAAAGTATGAACAACGGATAAAAGCAGATACAGCCATAATTACAGCTTGATAATCAGAATGGATTATTTTACGATTGACTTAAAGACAATAGCCTAACCTAACTTCGTTCGAACTAACCTATCGTAATCTGTCTTCTTCTTTTAGGCTGCGCACACAAAACACAAATAAAGCTAGGCTGCGTTCAGATACCTTTGGAGTGCCTTCCAGTGCCTTCATTGGGCACTTGTGGAACCACACCACGGAGTAGCGAGCAAAATGTTATTATTGGTTAAAAATCTTTTGTGAGGTGACGCACTGTGACGCACTTCCAATCAGTTCTCGAAAATTTGTATCACATGACATTTTGCTGCCGTAGCGTGCTGCACATGAAAAATCATGAAAAATCAGCTTATCTCTATGTGCTCAATGTAGAGCTTGCGCTTCTCTTAAATATATGTTCTGTGGCGTTGACGCTGTGTGACGAATATACTGACGATGGTGACGATCAGCACGGATACTGCCGACGTATGATTCTCTTAAACGAAAAGAGTCGCGGTGCGGTGACATGCACGTCGAGCGCGCGAAAATGTCCCGATAAGATAATCCCAATGGTCCTAGGGCGCGTCACGATCCTTCTTCAGGTAGGCGATTGTACAACAAATATTTTTATCATTTTCTTCCGGATGGAGAAATGTTGGAGTGCCTTCTACTTAATTTCTAGATTATCTGACACAAAGTGTCACCTAGTTCTAACTATACCTATATTTTATAACCTACTCTCACTATCTTCTTTATTTTCTTGAAAAACTTATAGATAATTCAAGAATGCCTACTATTTTGTTCTTTAATGATCGCGCAAAGGTTAAGTATGCATCCTTGTGGTTCTCAATCGAATCATTGATAAGCCCAAGACACAATGCAGGGAATATTATTGTTAGCGATAGGAATAACACAGTTCCAACTTATCAGAAATCGGATACATCGGAATATATAGTTTTTGATAGGTGAAAACTGTTATTTCTATTGCTATCGCTATTCCCTCGTATTGTGTCTTGGGCTTTAGTTTAGCTTTGCGACAGGGCGTCTTTCTTTTCATTCACTTGATTCGTTATTTTTACTATTGTCGAGAAATCACGTTACGATGTCGATGCGATTTGTGATTAGACAAGTGATCGTTGTGTCGCAAGATCACCCACTTACTGGATAATTACTTCCCGTTTCTAATGGTACAGATGTCGACTCATCTGTTATGCAGGATAGATGCAAATTGATGACACAACCATGTCCTTAAGAAACGTTATCGAGTGGACATCCTCCGACGTGAAAGAGTGGCTCGTAGATAATGGTCACGAGGAGTACGCAGATTTGTTTTACTTTCACGAGATCGATGGAAAGGTACTTCTGATGCTGAAAGAGGAAGATTTAAAGTCTAACATTTTAAACATAAAAAAGATTGGTGCTATAAAGAAATTGTATCTGGCCATAAAGCAACTGCAAAGGGACAATGTTGCCGTTTTATTTGACCTGGGATATGTAGATTTGTTTCCCTCGACAAATTTTTATACTCATCAGAATAAACACGAGGTAAAGGCATGATTTGCTGAAGGGAATCTAATGTTCATTTAAATTGAAGAAAGTAATACTTTTATGTCTTAATACAATTTTTTACTTTAGATGCCCAGTATCGGTACAAATAATGAAACGTCTATCGAAAACGAATTCTATTCAGCCTCTGTATCAGAGGATGGACATGCTTCTCATTTGCCACCCGAAATCTGGAAGACACTTATCAGTTTGGGATATTTATTTATTGTCACGTGGATTACTGCCTTTGTGATGGTTATTGTTCATGATAGAGTGCCTGATATGAAGAAATATCCTCCATTACCAGATATATTTTTAGACAATGTACCTCATATTCCTTGGGCGTTTGATATGTGCGAAGTTACCGGTACACTGCTTTTTGCGATATGGCTTATTGTGCTTATATTTCATAAGTATAGGTAAGGAATGAGGCTCATTTAAATATATGTAGCAAATAATATGATTCGTTAGTGCGAATAATCAATTAAATATGACACAGATTTATTTTGTTACGGAGGTTTTTTGCACTGTCGGGTACAGTCTTCCTACTGAGATGCGTGACAATGCTCATTACTTCGTTATCGGTGCCAGGAGCACATCTACAATGTCAACCACGGAAAGTCCCAGATGATGACTGGTCAAAGTGAGATACATATGTTATAAAGTTAAATACCACATTCTTTTTCTAAATACAAATAGTATATATTTATATCTCATTTTAGCTCCGCTTATGTCGAATTGTATAATAAAATAGCTATGGCTTATGTTATTTGGCGAGGTGCTGGCATGTCTATTCAAGGTGTCAGAACTTGCGGAGATTACATGTTTAGCGGACATACAGTAGCGCTAACAATGCTTAACTTTTTCATTACAGAGTGTAAGTAATTACGAGTAGCATACATTATTTCATAATCGCAAATTTCAATATTTATGAAATGCTCTTTTTTTTTTATTGCAGATACTCCAAGACATTTATATTTTCTGCATACTTTTACATGGATGCTTAACATGTTTGGTATTTTTTTCATCTTAGCGGCGCATGAACATTATTCCATCGACGTTTTTGTCGCATTTTATATAACTTCACGATTATTCCTTTACTATCACACACTGGCAAATAATCAAGCATTGATGCAGCGCGATTCAATCAGAACCAGAATCTGGTTTCCGTTATTTAGCTTTTTTGAGGCTTCCGTTGATGGTATTGTTCCTAATGAATATGAATCGCCATCCTTGATAGTTTGCAATTTAGCAGGCACGGGAAAAAACATCTGGCATTGCATACGATCTCGAATTTCTTTCCGAAAAATGCAACGCAGCATAAACGGCAATTTAAGAAGCACAAAGAAGGAATACTAACGTCAACTGGTATATATTTTACCTTTTTTAATTGTTATATTCGATACTGTATTGCTATAATCAATGTTTTTAAGATAAATATGCCATGTAGGAAACAACATATGACATTTCATTGATTTTTTCAATTCTTATCACACAATACATAAAGATACTCCAAGAGAGAAAAAGGGGATAAGAAGATAATATTTCTTTAGAATGGATCTTTGTGTTTGAGAATACATTATATGTATTCTCAGACACAAAAATCATACATATAGGTTCTGAAAAAATGAAAGTGATCTTATATTATATATTTATCTTTTCAGAGCGTTGACTGTTTGTTTGACAAATCTGTTTATATGTTGAGATAATATTGAAAAAGATGTAATATTAATTCTAAATATTTATTTTTGCGATAGAGAATTGTTGGTACTGAAAGAGATTAAAGTAATTCAAGATACAATTGATTAATATTATCTACATATATAACTTTTACTATCACGCAAATAATTTAATTTATTAAGAAATTTCCAAAGACAAAGTATAATAGCATGTAAAGTACTTTATTAATTCAACATGTATTTTCCAAACATATTGCATTGTCTAAGACTTGTTTTTTTTAAGTGTATATATATATGTATATACAGAGTGATTCAGAACGACCCCGTGTCCTTGCAAAGACGTGTTCCTGACTGAATTCTGAGACAAACTAATGTCAAGTAATAAAATAGGAATTCATTTTTCTTTTAAAAATATGTAGTATCTAAAACACTTTCAGTAGTTGTAACACTTTCATTGATTTACTATCGCATTTAATTGATACTTGCCGACACCACACGGAACGACAATCCGACTGAGCCCGATGACAACAATCAAACAGGTTATGTTTTTACGAACAAATATATAGAATCGACATGACAGATAAAAACATAATCTGTTAGATTGTTGTCATCAAGCTCACATCAGTCTTCACGTCGGATCATGCCGGGTTGTGTATGTAACGCGTCCCTCTTACAAGTGATTTAGAAATAAATAATTAATCAGTATTAATTAATAACGATAAATCGATAGAATCGTTCGTAAATCGTTTCGTGTGGTGTCGACAAATATCGATTAAAGTAAATTAATGAAAGTGTTACAACTAGTGAAAGTGTTTTAGATACTATATATTTAAAAAAAAACGAATTCATGTTTTATTACTTGACATTAGTTTGTCATCAAGGGTCTTCGTATTGTTTTTTCAATTCTTCCGATTGTGAAAGTTATTCGTCAAGTTAAAAGCAGTATAAAGACAACTAATCTCTGCAAGGTAAGCGATAGAGAGAGAGAGAGAGAGAGAGAGAGAGAGAGAGAGAGTGTGTGTGTGTGTGTGTGTGTCGTGAAACCAAATTAAATTAAAGAATAACTCTATGTCCTTGATCGCAATGAGTGCCTCTCGTGTTCGTTCGCGTCGGACGGTGAGTGCGCCGCCCCTGCTTACCTTCTGTTCGTGGATCGTAATTCGCTAACTTTATCTTTTAATAATTCAAAAAGTAAGCGTCGGATAAAATTTTTGTAAAGGAAAAATCTTCTCAGAATCTAGTCAGGAACACGTCTTTGCAAGGACACGGTATCATGTCACACACACACACACACACATTTTGCTCATAAATACTTTTCTTTTTGTGATACAAGAAGAAAGTTAAGTTAATCGCTATATTGCGACGGCAGGGATGTTAGATTTTATCAAGAATATTGAATGATTTTCTACAACTTTCATAATTATATTTTAGAATTTCTAAATTAGATATCTGAAGATACATATTTATTTGCCAATGAATGTTGGAACGCAAAAATGAAACGCAATGTTTTAAGAGTAAATGTGCATATTGATACTATCATACATTCCTGGTATTTAATAAAATTAATAATTTAAGTCTCCTGCTTATTGCAACAATATTGAAGTCATGATTTTTTTACATTGTATATATAAGTAAGTAAAATATGTTGCCACATACATTCGACTTAATGATAATATTGACTGAGATATAAATATTTTGGTTGATTATTATAAAATTCATTTTTTACCGGAAATATAAAACATATATATATATATGATTTGTTAATGTGGGTTATTAAAAAGGACGATTTTTTATTACCGAAAAAATTTGATTTTAATATAGTTGCAGTAAGAAACCAAGAGATATATTTACAAATGTGGTATTATTAAACAGAGGCTGAAAATACTACTGTTATTATAATGTTATTTTTAGTGCTCGGAAAAAGAATCAGATAACATTGTAAATTAACGCAACAAATGACTGACGGGCGGGCGGGTGCCCAGATACCTGGGTATTCCGAGCACTAGTTATTTTAATGTAAATTTGTGCGTAAAATCTGTATGATATGATTGTATGAATAGCTTCTGTATGTCATATAGAAGCTATTATCAATAGTACAATAGCTTTTAAATATTTCATCCATATCTCTATTTTTTACTTATATGAGTAAATAACTTAATCTTGTTGGCATTAACGAGTATCGATTATTGATAACTCGTTGATGGTATCTGAGATTGTTTATTACTTTATATACTTCCAAAAACTACGCAATATGGTAAACTTTCTCTCTTTCTCGTGCTAATGTCGACCAATATACCGACTAGTTTATGAGATAGTCGGATTTGCAAATGATTGAAAAAAATAGCACGAATAAAAGATGTCAATATTTCAATAAGACTTATTATACTTTTATCAATTATAATTAATACATTAAGCTTGCAGGTATTATTTCCCTTTACCTTTCCCAAACAAAATTTAAAAAAATGCATTATATTTCAATATTTGTGTTCGTAATTATAAAAAAAAATTAAAATTTCCAAAACCATCGATTCAGGTAAACTTGAGTAAACTGTTGACAGTCAGTGCCAAGTTAAATTCTATATCTTCCAAATTATAAAGTAAAACACAAGTGGTACCATCTTTAAAAACCACCCATGAAGTACTATTCTTTAAATTTTACTAAATTAAAAAGTGATACTATCTTTATCTTCATATACAATGAAATCTAAGTATATATGTCTTTGTATTCTTATTGATTGAAAGATCTTATTCCAATCCAAGTGGTTTAATTCTTGTTTAAAAAAATTATATCACAATTCAAACACATTTATTCCTCCAACCAAAGTTATAATTATAGTTGTTCAATCTTCCTTCAAAACATTACTATATCGTAAAATGTCTCCTTACGTCTCGTTCTCTGCCATAGCCCTTACGCCGTACAGAGATCAACTATTGAGTATTGGTACGATCCGTTCCATTAGTCTGTTCATCAAGAAGATCCAGAAGGTGCCCGAGATTAATTGCGGTCAATCTACTACGTTAAGGGCTGATTGTTCCATCTTTTGGTAAAATTTACCTATTAGGTAAGTAGCAAGATTACCCAATCACCTAATAGGCCTTCTACAATAAGCCATTACCTAAGTTTTAAGTATTAAGTCATAAGAAATTGACCACTCACAGTCGATTATTCTTCTCACATTCGATTATGATTGATAAATTTCTTGTGATTTAACACTTAAAATTTAAGTAATGACTTTTTGTAGAAGGCCCATAACAGGTAAACTTTACCGAAAGATGAAACAATCGGCTCTAAGTCAAGGGTCTCGAGCTCTTTGTCGAAAAATTAAAATAAACACAAAATTAAAATGAAAAGTTTATACTTGTTCGTATTAATTACTCTGTGTTATATTTTCTACGTTCCTATCCTTTGCTTATTTGTACATTATATTCTTTTTTCTTTTCTATATTTTTAGGATTAAATAATATTTTTCAATATTATGTTATTTTATCACAATTTTATATCACGATAAAAACATAATATTGAACAATGTTAAACCTATTCAAGAAATACCATAGAAAATAGCTAACAGAAAACATAACACACATATATGTATATATATATATATGTATATGCATGTGTAGTACTACATAGTACGTCAGCCAAGCCACTAGGAGCGTGATAATCATTCTGTCGCCATCATTTAACACGGTACTTGTTAACACTGTCTTGTTATATGTTCTGTGTGGACCGAAGCCCAAGTTCTCGATCTGATAGTTCTGATACGTGTGTATATGTTGAAGCAAATTTTATTTCATAAATTCGAGATGACGTCGAATGATGATTGGAAATTAAATCGCGTTCTGGGTAGCGGAGGCTTTGGAGTTGTCGAGCTTTGGATACATGTTCAAAGTGGCAAAAAGATTGGTACTATTTCAGTACAATTATGAGTATAAATACGAAAAGAATATACAAGATCTCCTAATAACTATTAGCACCTAAAGTATCTTCTAATCTATAAGGGGTAGAAAGAAATTTATATAACCAATATTACATGATGTAAAGGAGGTATCATATAGTGATAATAATTTTTGTCCAGATGGAGGCGCTTTGGAGATTTCAAGGTCAACTTCATTTTTTTTAAATGGAATTATATCAATTTTTTTACACAACATGATTGTGTAAAAGTATAGTGATAATAATTGTCCAGGTGGAAGCGCTTTGGAGATTTCAACTTCGTTTTTTTTTTTTAAATGGAATTATATGAATTTTTTTACACAATCATATTGTGTAATTAATAATTAGAGGAATCATATTGCGTAAAAAATTCATATAATTTCATTTAAAAAAACAAAGTTGATCTTGAAATTTCCGAAGTGCCTCCACTTGGACAAAAATTATTATCACCGTATGATAGCCCCCTTTACATTGTGTAATTTTAGTTATATAAATTTTTCTCTACTTTTTATAGATTAGAAGATATTTCAGGTGTTAATAGTTATTGGGACACCCTGTCTATATCTTAAAATTTAAAGAATTTTCTGAAAGAAATCATATGTATATAAACAATCTTATAACTTATAATATTGTTAATATATAATGCATATATATATTGTTGCATATAATTGTAATTTCAGCAATCAAAAGATGTAAATGTAATTATTCACAATTGATGCCAACGCAACAAAAGAGATGGGCCTATGAAATTTTTATAATGAAACACTTGAAGCATTTAAACATTGTGAGAACAGGATGTGTTCCATTCAAGCTTCCAAATGTAGAAAAAAATGAGCCAATTCTCTGTATGGAATATTGTAAAAAAGGAGATTTGAGAAAAGTTGTATTTTGTTTAAAATCTAATCTATACAAAGTCTATTGATAATGTAATGTAATTATGTCTTTTTTTATAGATTTTAAATCAACCAGAAAATTGTTGTGGAATTAATGAAATAGAAGCAATCAAAGTAATGAGTGAGATTTTATCGGCTGTAAAATATTTACATTCATATAACATAACCCATCGAGATTTAAAGCCAGAAAATATAGTTTTACAGGATGAACAGAATGTGGTAAGATATAATGAGAAAATTATTTATATTGAATTATTAGTAGCTTATGTTGCATTAATTAAATTAAACTGTTACATATATTACAGATTTCATATAAATTAATAGATCTCGGATATGCCAAAGAACTTGGAGAAGCAAGTACATCTGCATCTTTAGTTGGCACTTTAAACTATGTTGCCCCAGAACTTCTTTGGAAAGAGAAATATAGTTGTTCTGTTGATTACTGGAGTTTAGGAATATTATTTTATGAACTTTTAACTGGATTAAGACCATTTTTACCAACAATGCAACATACTATGGAATGGTAAAAGTGAAAAATATAATGATGAAATAAAATGATGCAAGTGTAAACTCTAAGCTTAATTACATTCTACAGGATGAAATACATTAAAAATAAGAGTTATGACGATATTCATGCTTATGAGTTAGAAGGGAAAGTCATTTTTGGAAAAGACATTCAAAATCCAACTCATTTATCGGAGTAAGAATGTATTATATATTTTTTCTATACTTTTTTTTGTAGAGAGAGTAATTTTTTATTTAACTTTTTGTTTGATAATTTTTGATATTGTATCTTTACCAGTGTGTGTAATATTTTCTTTATATTAGCTGTCTTCGAAACAAAATGATCCAATGGTTTCAACTAGTTTTACAATGGGATCCATATAAAAGAGGAAAAACGGTTGACAAATTTGGTACGTCCAATTTAGCGGTATTTACAATGTTACAAAAAGCGTTATTAAACAAAGTATGTATAAAAGCTAAACATGTTTTACTCTTATTTCGTCTTTGTTATTTAATTTTTTGTTTTTCATGTATAGATACTATATGTTTTCTGTCTGCCGTTTTACAAAATTAATACATACGAAATTGATAGTAATACTACTCTTAGAGATCTTCAATTGTTAATAGAAAGAGATACTAATATTGAAGTCAAACGTCAAGTGTTAACTGATTACAAAGGTGCAATACTGATTGAAAGTACCATGTTATTTGCATCACAAATTAATGTATGTACATTCAACTTGTAAGAGAGATTTACAAGATAAAATATTATTTTTACATTTATTACAATTTTGCTGTAGGATCATGTTCTATTTCTCTTCAGAAATGGATGTTGTTTAATAGAAGATATACCTATATTAAATATTCCTACAACAGTGGAGAAAATGATGACACAATCAAAGAATTATTTGAACTATGAAACACTGAAAGATTATTATCGCCATACAATATATTTTACGAAAACAGAAGTATATTTATTTCAATTATACATTTTTGCACTGAGTATAAATGTGTAAGTTTCATACATAATATTAATTGTTACAAAATTATAAAACTACCTATTATTAAGCATGATAATATTTCGATAATATTTCATACATTTTAGAGATTTATTACATCAAAAAATCGATAAATTTGATTCAAGTATGGAGAAGACATTAGAAAATATAAAGATTCTTACAGATCAAGTACATACGATTCGTATAAAATATATGAATACGACGGACGAAGACATAACTGATAAAAGGAAAATACAAATTTATCTTAACAAAGTTGATAAATTAGTTAGTGCAGCCGATCAAATAAAAATTAAGTTTATGTCTTTGAAGGGAGATAACAATAAATTGAGAGATCAAGCTCAAGCGACCGATTATATAGGGAGTTTATCAGTACTGTAAGTGTACAATGTATTATAGATAATTATTGCGAAATATGTTACATTTTAATATTCTCTCTTATACTATTTTATAGATATGACAAGATGTGTGATGTATATTTAAAATTTAAGGAAGGAAGTCCACATAAAACAGCAAGGCCATTGAATATGTCGAAATTAGTATTTGAATTTGTGACTGCACATGAAGCACAACTTTGTAATGAAAACATAATTGATATTATAAGGTATTAAAAGTTTATTGTGAGCGATACATCCCACATATCTTCAATATGTGTTTTCTACAGGCAGATAGATAAATTGCAAGATGAATTGTCGAAACTAGAAAAAGTGTTTATTTCTGTTACTGCCATGACGGAATTGTATTGGGAAGAATATCAAAAAATGACACAGTCGGACACTAACAGTGTTCCTCAACAATCTAACAACTATCAATCTTTAAATATTTTAACCACTGAATTAGATAACATTACTCAATCAGAAGATAATGTGATATACGATAATTTGGTCCTGCGTTATATGTATGTTTTTTTTTTTTATTATGACGTTCAGTTTTAACATACACAGGTTTATCTTATATTTTATCTTTTTAGGCTGGACAATTTGATGGCTCAAATGCAGAAAGAATATCTTGAAGTGCTTAAATTGGATTCGTGATTAAAGATATTGCTTGTATTTGTACTAATTTATGTGATTTATGTCATCACAAACTAGCAGTTCAGCGTACTAAGCATTTTTTAAATTCCTATATTTTAATACATTTAATTCTTGAATTCAGTTTGTCTTAATATACGTGGAACATAATACCGTACACCCCATTTAATATTGGCATATTTATCAGTCTTAACGAATGTGTAGACAGGTTTGTTGAATAGTTGTTCCAATTTTGTTGCATGATATCTATTATTCTGACCTGTTCAGAAACGTCTGTTAAAGTATGTTTTTATATTGTTTTTATTTTATATTATATATTACATTATACATTTTAACTTTTATAAATAAAAAGTATCTGACTTTACAAACATCTTATGCACACGCAATATATCCATTACATATATATTAGGTGTATATAAAGACTAAACAATATCAATTCTTATTGGACCGCTAAATTTCAAACCGAATGAGACAATGCACAGCAGTCTAAGCTAGATCACGGGTGCTTCTAAATAATTACGGGTGAATTTATATACTACGTATGTAAATCTTCGATTACGTGCCGAAATTTTTTCAGACTTGAAACAACACTAATAAACTACTGCAGTAATATCACGAGTTAAATTGACTAACAATTTAACGATTATTGATGCTATTTATGTATTTTATATCGATCTTAATAACGTTAAATAAATGACTTATTAAAAACTGTAAATAATTAATTTTTTATTGCGAAAAATATTACCTCAGCCGTGAGTCGAACCCGAATCTCTGCCTTTACCGAGATTTTAGTAGTATTCTTCGCAATAATCAGTATAAGTATAACGTTTATTTTAAACAACGTAAATGATACAATATCAAAATTCTTGTGTTTCAAATCAGAAAAAATTTCAACGCGCAATCGAAGAATTACATACGTAGTATATAATTACATATGTAGTATATTACATACGTAGCATATAAATTCACACGCAATTATTTAGAAGCACCCGTGATTCAGTTTAGATTAATTTTTGTATTAGCGCACGATACGTTTTAAAAAGCTAAATAGAATTAGTTATATTTTAATATTAAAGAAACGATCATTTCCGAATATACATATGGCTGTGAAAAAGTACATTTGATGAATTTTATGTGCATTTAAGCTGAATATGAATATTTTCTATTACAGAGATCAGAAAGGATTTGTAAATTAGGACACTATACTTTTTAATAATTCTTTGCGACTGAAGAAGACTTTGTAAAATCGAAACTAGTTTCGCTCATTTCAATGTATATTTAACATTAAAGTTATTAATATATATAGTAAATATGTCGTATAGGGAAACCCCCTCCAATGACCTTGATCTTGACATGTTGTCAACTGTTGTCATTTACCTTTCGTTAAAAAGTTAACAAAAAATTTCACTATTTTACAGGACGAAACGAAGTTTATATAATTATACTGTTTCACATGAGTTTTTTTACTTTCCACACAAAGCGAGAAAATTTTTAAAGCAGAAAATTTTTGTTTTATGTAGTAGAACTTTGTCCAGTGCTAGGTAAAACCTGTTGGAGGTCACTCAAGCTCATGAATTTGACAACTTATGTCAAGATTAAGGTTATTGGAGGTCCCTATTACTAGATATTTACAATAATCAATTAATTAATTTTATATATGAATAAAATAATTTTATTAATTCCGTTATAGTTAATTTTTATTTATATTCCTTAAACAATAACTTACCCTTTTCAAACGCAAGAACCATCATATTTAAAGAAAGGTAGAGTATAAAATAAAATTTAAATATCTGAAATACAATCGCGTGCTGTGTAATGCAGAAATGGCTTTATTGTATAAAAAATATAAAATGTACTCACTTGTATTGCACGAAGTATTACGTTCATTGTTAACATATATCAGATCTATCTAGTTATACCGTAATGATACTCTTTTAGACTATCTTTGCAGTAGATCCTGCGGATGATTTAAATTTGTCGCGTCTACGATAAAAAGTACAACGGTTGAGTGATCTTTTGTATGCCCTGTATATGTGTATAGCTTAAAGTTCTTTTCTACTTTCGCTTAACCCAGATTTGATGATATCTATTTTATCGCCATAATTGTGAAGAATACGTTCATACAATGAGTTTAAAAAGATATCTTATGAATATAAATACAATATTTTTGTATTGATATATTTTATTAGAAAACTGTATACATATCTCAATTCAGGGTTGAACACATCCAAATTGAGGATTGAACAACGATGTTAAAATAAATATTATGTTCTTTATTCGCTATTACTTTTTCCACACTGACAAATCTTACGCACCAGACTATGTTTCTAGATTGTCCACATACACGATTATGCAATTCCACGTATAAAAGTCCATTGTACATTAATTTCAAAAGTAAAAAAAGAGGAAAATACGGACTTTCAGAATATCTATTTCGATCATATGTGAGAAACAGATATTACTCATTATCACTAATGTCCTCATCGGTTGTGAACTCGGAATGTTCATCAGCTGCATCCACATCTTCCGCAGTTTCTTCATCTGAGATGTCCCATTGCGGATGTTCAGTCGGTACCTCGGGTGCCTCCTTCACGTCCAACTATAAAACATCGTTGCATCGTTATATCTTTAATATAAATAATAAAAAATGAGGTTTTTTGCAAGATGACTTGAATTCTTAAGGAACTCACTTTGATATCTTGAGCTTGATCAAAGCCCAGATATGAATCGCTACGTAAACATACTGTAAATGTATAAAGGCCTGGCCAGCGTGGCGCTGTGAATCTTAATTGAATCTCTTCAAACTGTGCTAAGGACGTAACGTGTATAGGGGTTGTTAATAGCGTTTGACTTTTGCGATCACAGATATAGACCCACCAATACTCTTGCTTAACATCAGGAAAGAGTGGACAGTGCACTTCATGTGACAAATTACTCCTTCCCTCTAGTACTCTTTCCCGCTTGGAGATCCTCTGTTGAAATCTATATTTAAAAGAGAAGGAAACGTTAAGTTTAACTGTGACAGGGATATGTAAGTAATGATCTAATATATTAGGTCAATCGGAAAATCCGTCCGTTTTTTTTTGCAAAAAGTATGATTTTATTTAAGAAACAAACTGAAAAAGTACATCAATCAAAATGTTGTCCATCGTTAGCAATGACTTTTTCCCATCTTTCGGGGAACAAGCAAATTCCGCGGCGAAAGAATAACTCATCCTTGGAGACTATCCAGTCAGAGACCCATTTTTCAACGTCTTCATAAGAATTGAAGAATTTCTCAGCAAGTGCGTGTGGCATTGACCGAAACAAGTGATAGTCGGAAGGGGCACAGTCTGATGAATAAGCCGCATGGGATAGCATTTCCCAGCGAAGTGCTTCCAATGTTTCCTTAACAGCCTTAGTGACGTGAGGTTGAGCGTTGTCATGAAGCAAAATCACTTTATGCTGCCTTGTCTCATATTCTAGTCGTTTTTCGCGCAATGCTCGGATCAAACGGATTATTTGTTCTTGGTAGAGATCTCTTGTGACCGTTTTGATCAAATTTTAACAGCTAATGGTACACTACACCCTTCTAGTCCCACCAAATACAGAATATGGCCTTCTTCCCATGAATATTGCATTTTAGCATTGATGTCGATCGTTGATCTGGATCGCAAATTGTTTTTCGGCGTTTGAGGTTATCGAAATAGATTCACTTTTTATTGCCAGTCACAATTCGATGCAAAAATCCCTTTCTTTGTTGCCTAACAAACAGAATTTTGCAGGTGGTTTTTCACCTTTCAATGTTTCTGGGCTTCAGTTCATATGGAACCCATTTTCCTTCCTTGTAGACCTTTCCTAAGGCTTTTAAACAATCAGAAATAACATTGAGTGAGTTTTTTAATTCATCGATTGATCAATCGATGAATTAAAAAACTCGCCCATATTGAGCACAATTTAATGCTTCTGTAAGTTGATGTTTTTGCGTTTGACATAGGTCTTCATCCACCAATGCCTGCAATTCTTTATCTTCAAATGCTCTTGGCCATCCAGAACGTTCTTTGTCCTCCACATCAAAATTACCACTTTGAAAGCGTCAAAACCATTCTCTGCATGTTTTATCATATAAGAACACTATCATCATAAACTTCTACAAACATTCGATGAGCTTCAGCTGCAGTTTTCTTCCATTTGAAGCAAAAGATTAACACTTCGCGCAAATGACGTTTATTTGGCTCAAATTTTGACATTGCAGTAAGAAACAAATGTTATTAATGCAAACATATACATTTATTATATACTGAATTTTATTGACAGATGGTAAAACTAAAAAATTGAGTTTAATTTAGACATTAGAGTTATCGGCAGTTCCAGCTATAGATACTCGCCGCTAGATGGACGGAACTTTTCAATTGACCTAATAAAACACATATAAAGAGAAAATATAAATATTCCTCTTACTTTTCCCATTCGGTATCGTCATCATCGAGAGACACATCCTTTTTGTCATGACTGTCCTCGTCATCGCTTCGATCGCTCTCTGCTTCACTGTCACTAACATCTGATAATTTCTCCTTGGAAGACTCTTTCTCTGTCTTACCGTCGTTCTTTCTCGCATTAGGAGTATTGCTGTGCTGAGTATTGTTAGTCACAGCCTGAGACTGTGCTTGTATATTTTTAACAGGAGCTAACTTCTTGTTGGTACCCTTTTTATGTGACTTTTTTTGACCTTTCTTTTGCTTAAGCCATGCCGGCTTCGTAGCTTTCATAGATTGATTTTGTTCCTCTGAGACTTCTTCAATTGTTTCACCGCCGGCTTTGTTATCCTCGATCATCGTTTGCTCATTGACTGAATCATCTCCAAACAGATGCTTCATATCTTTTCGCGTAAGGGATACTGTTACAGTTACAATAGCACCAGCAGTGTAGACGGTAGGATTCTCATCATCGATTACTGAAATAATTCATGCAGTATACTTATAAAAGATATAATACCGCATAAATTATGTTATTCTAATGTAAATGTTTTACAGAAATAAAAGAAATTAACTTATAAATAATGAATTACCTTCAGATCGCACTTTGAAATCAATGTACGGCATGTTTCCAAGAACTTTAATAACATCTTCATATTGACTGTCTGACAAATTTCTAAGTATCAGTCTTCGTTCTTCTCCTTTCAATTGTGCGAATTGTTGAAGACTTTTGATTTGACGCTAGGGAAGTCACGAAAAAGATTTTTTATCGATAATAATACAAATATTTATCAATAAATAGATTTTGTTATAATATCACTATAATACCTTCTTTGCGTGGAAGTATTTTAAATTATCCTCCGTTATGTGTGGTAATTGAAGGAGAGGGTTTTTAAACTCCCAAAATCCTTGAACAATCATTGGACACAATTTCATACAATTTTCTATAGTTGTTATGGTTGGTACCCGCGGTACTATAAAAAAAAAGTCATCATTGTATATACATGTCGCAAAATTGCATTGAAAAGAAAATCGAATATTTACCTCTTCTGGCATAAGCTAAAAGTATAACTTGATGGACACAGGCAACCATTTCTTGAATCAAATATGGGCATTTCTTCACCATGTACTGTCTATCTTTATCCAATGTTTCTGGATTAAGTGGTATACGAGATAAATGCGCGTGTAATAATGCTCTAGCTTTAATTGAATACAAGTGGCATAATGGTACTTCTTTATTTTTTTCTCCCAAGTTAGGTAGCTGCTTAATAAGCTGAAATATATTATATATATAGTAAAATTGTTATTTTCTTTTCCACAAGAAAAATTAAGAAATTAAATTTACCGAAGGAACTTCTTCGCTGTCAGAGTGTCGCTCGACTATTTCTGTGTTACGCTTCTTGAAGAATTCAAAGGAAGCAGCGAGTATCATGATGACTCTCTTTAATGACATAGACGGCGTTTTCACGAAGAAAAAGTAATACATTTCGGTCGTTGTCAAGAGAACCTAGAGATAAATATGAATATATATAACAATTGATAATTTTGTCACCTATAAAAGTTTGGCATAAAAATGCCAATTACTTGATCACCAGTGTAGCGAATACTCTTGTACCACCACATTCCTACAACCGTTGGTAAAGCAACCATGAACACTAATGCATATAGTCCTAAGACCCATACTGAATTCTCTTTTTCAACGATCCAAGAAGGCAAAGCTATACCAAAACTCATCGCCCCAGGACCATCTGGATTTCCATATTTTTCCCAGTTTTTTCGTGCTTCATCATCCGTTAAAGCTTGGTAAGCTATTTTTGTTAATAGAAAAACAACTTTAGTTAGTTTATATCAAAACTTAAGGTATTAGTGATAGCAATTTAATAAAAATTACCCTAAGATAATTTTCAAAAATTAATATCAAATATTTAATTTTTAACTGTTATAGGATTAATTTCGAATGTGAGTATTTTAACAATCTTTATCAACTTTCTGTGCTGTATTATCGTTTGCACACAACAAATGTATTATAAATTTATTAAATCTATTTAATAATATGCGCAATGTATATTTAATATTTATATATTTTAATATTTACATATTTCAGATCTATGCAGAGACTATTTGCATTCCTTACCTTTAGTTAATTTCATAAAAGCTTTCTCATTTCCTGTTTCTTTATCAGGATGAAGAATTAAGGAGAGCTTGCGATAAGCTTTCTTAATCTCACTTTGGGAAGAACCCTACAATTGGAATTTTTGGCATCAATTTTTGTTACGTAACAAACTTAACGATACATATAAAAATTCTATTTTATTATACTTACAGATGGTATAGTTAATATCTCGTATGGGTCAAAGTTAGCCATTTCGTAATCAAATTGGGATACCTTATAAGCTAAGAGCAACAGGATAACCCATCCCACAATAATTAGAAATTTCCTACAACAGCATAATATTAAATGTATATGAAAACTCCAATTAAGCTATTAAGTTTGTAACACTTTTCACAATTGTGTAAATGGATAATTATACAATATAAAATGTTTAATTTTTACTTACGTGAAGAAAGCCTTAGTCTCCTTCCAAGGTTTGTTTGCATGAAGAACAACTTTCTTCTGTTTGCACCCATCGCATTGACATTCTTTGGCTAACTGATCAGGATCTGAACAAATTTTAATTAATATATTATTTTGTTTTAAATCTTTATTTCTTTTAATTTATCGACAAAGTATAAAAGGAAAATAGTTGAAGATATTTTTACGATGCTTGTAGTTAAATGGCATTATAATAATTCTTGAATAACAGTGTTAGTTATAAAAATCATATATATTCTCTGTTTGTTCATTCAAACGGCATGTTATAAGATTTTCTTATTTTCATATGCAATGAAATATACAATATATTAAACACATATTGTATTAATTTTTTGTAGCACAAAAAGTCAGAAACATAATACGTCATATCTACATATCATTCATTTGCTACAATGTCATAATTCAAAAGTTATCATTTTGAGTTGTTTCCAAAAAAAAGAAAAGAAATATTAAGAAATAAGAATATATTTAAAAATATGTTTTTATTTCTCTACAATTAATTATTATATCAAAATTGCATTACAATATTTTAATAACTTATTTTTTGGAAAATAAATTTTAATATTTTGAATTATTAAAATATTTTAATATTAATTTTGAAATGCAATTTTAATACAACACTTTATTATAGAAAAATAAAAACATGTTCTTTTTAAAGTATATTCTTATTTTCCTTACATTACCAGAAAATATGGTAAGTTTCAATATTTTTAATTATTAAGTCAATCAATATTAAGAATCAAATATTTTGGAACATTAAAATACTGTAATATTTTTTTTCGAGTTATGTTATTGTTATAGCATATGACCAATATGACTCCAAATTACTTAATTTTTTAAGTACACAGAATTATGAAATAAAACAAACAGCTAGATAATTAATTCAAGTGTCCTTATCTTCACAAATTGGACGAGTGTAACATTTGCCTCTCGATAAAAGAATTGAATAAAGAACCAAGGTGGAGTACAACATAAATTAAGATTGCAAACAGCGTTCATCCGTCATGCATATACCGCAGTGGATGTCGTTACATTTGTACGCGCTTGTAAATTACTTGGGCCGGAAAATGGAGTTCGCCTTGATCTTTCTATTTGTCTGTCTCTTTTTCTCTAACCTTGCTTCGGGCAACGTGGCCAGAGGTAGTAAGTCCCGGGTACCAGTAGTAATGCCAAGAACGAGAGCAGAAAGTAAAAGAATGTCCCTCCGCTCTCGTCATATTGGAACTTCTGTCCACTCATCGCTCATTAAGTACTGCGGCGTTGTTTTAAATAGACCGTTTAAGTACATTCATTCGTAACATTATCCAGGCTCGCGCGGGCTGCGGACACACGGACGTGCAGTACAACATGCAAATCAACAGTTAGCGGGACTGCCCTATCAAGACTGCCAACTCAGCACTGCGATCGCACGCGCCTCAGCGATGTCGGATGTCCATGCACTATCGACTCTGACGTACACGCGACGACGCGACGACTGCTGTGTGACTGCTGTGCTGGCTATGTGGCGTCGCTCGACTTCGGCGTGGATCCGACTCATCCGACTGGCGACAGCAGAAGACTTATATACTGTGATATACTGTAGTGTACTGTAGGTAGAACTGAACAGGGCTGGATTGACGTCGTCGACCTTGCATCAATCCGAGTCGATGCGAAAAATCGGATTACGAGCCACAATGATTCCTGCTCGCATCCTCGTGTATGATGGGAGGAAAATAATTAAATAAGGGAGACAATTTGTGACCCATGATGACCTCTGCGAATTACCGATAAGAAATACTTAAATGAGATATTCGATGAGACTCGATTTGTTCCATTTAATTGCACTTTTATCCCCTTTCGTATTTCGTACTTCGCCTCGTCCGCAGAGAAAAACGGGTAGTGTAGTGAATATCTTAAATTGCTTGCATTTCCCACATTTAACATGAAATGGTACACGGGACTGTGATATTCGTATGTACTTGACCGAAGCTTGATGTCTTTCGAAAAAATTAACTCCCATATAAAAACGTTTGTATTTTGTATATGTGAAAAGTTTTAAAGTGCAATTGAAAAGATTTGTGAGTCGTTCTGTTAATTGTAATTATTTAGTTTTTGACAATGTATTTAGCCGAAAAAATAAGCCGGAGGCAAATTAAACAAAGTTCTTGTATGGTATCGTTTTTATTTCGTATGAAGAGTTATGAAGTGCCATTGAAAGGGTTTGTGAGTCACAGAAATAATTTTAATTAAATATTTAAGGGATGCGCTGGAGTGTCCTGTTTTATCATTAATTAGTTAAAGACTCGTTTCTCTTAATTGCATTTACGGATGAAAAATCCTGTTGCATAGTTAAAGTATTGACCATAATACAATTCGCCAGCTTTAATACGAAAAACGAAAGAAAATTAAAAACTTACAGTTTTGTTATCGGCTTCTGCACAATATATATTTCAACTCGTCACAATATGTGCTGCATAAGAGTTTCAGACTTTGCACGTTCATCAGAAGTAACTGGCGAATTGCAGAAAGCCTGAAAGAACAATCCTATGCTTGGAAAAATGAGGTAGGGGCTTTAATATAAGAGAAACGAGTATTCGACTATTTCGTTGATATACTACGAGTAAAATTGACGTGCAGCCACGCAGCTGAGCAGTATTTTAGTTCCACGATATTCCGATAGCGGCGCTGTCACGAAAAGTACATCATTGGATCAATAGAGGGTGCAGTCCACTTGGCGCTGTTAGAGATCCTATAATAAGAGTTTGGCCAAAGCGGACCAAAGATGGCGGATAGAAGGAGATAACAGATATTGCTTTCTTCCTCGTATTACGCTATCTGTCTCTTTCTATTCTCCGAACTGGTTTTCCGACAATGTACAAAGCTATCCGAAGAATGCCGAATGGACCAAGCTAGAGAACCAATCAGAAGTTGGGCCCGCTTTGGCCAAACTCTTATTATAGGATCTCTAGGCGCTGTGTAAAGTCACTAGATTAACAAAGTACCGCTAGAGTCCTAGATATCAGAGAAGCGCAACCGATGTCCTGATTAGCTGATGGCTGTCAGCCAGTCATGACATTCATTCATTGGTATTAAAAATGGCTGACTAATAGACGATTGGTGGATTTCATACTTCGTCTGCAAACGACGCCATTTTTAATACTGTTTTTAGTAATTTTGCAATACTGCCTTAAGCCGGTTGCGCTTTTCTGATATCTAGGACTCTAAAGGATGCAAACCCATGCAGCGGAATAGCGTAATGCGAAACGAGAGTAGAACCAATCACGAGATTCTCTAGAAACACGGAATGCTCGTTATTGGTTCTGCTCTCGTTTCGCGTTACGCTATTCCGCTGCATGGGTTTGCACCCTTAGGGAAAACCCGCCCTAAGGCTGGAGTCACATTGAGCGGAAATCTACAGCGGAACGGAACAGCGAGGCCAATCACAATCGCAGAAAGCAATGCAGCGGAATGATTGTAGAGTTCTGATTGGTTTCACTATTCCGTTCCGCTGTAATTTCCGCTCAATGTGACTCCAGCCTAAAGGACGGTATTCATAATCGGTTCTTATTTCAAGACTGTCTTAAGTTAATATCTTAAGATGCTAAAGTGGTCCTCTGATTGGTTCGTAACTCCTCAAGACTGAACTTAAGACAATCTTGAATATAAGAACTGATTATGAATTCCGGCCTAAGTATCGCTAGAGTCCTAGGTGCGTTCCGAGTTAAGCCTAACGACATAGTATGAACTGTGCAATCCATACATAAAAGTGTCCGGCGAATTAGACAAAGAGGAAACGCGGTGTGAGTCAATCGCTCGCTCTTTCTCCTATTGGCTGCTTTTATTACCGCCCAGTAGGCCTATTCTGTAACTCTTTAACGACAATTTTACTAGCTAGGGATGTCGTTGCGCAGATATTTAACATGGTATAAAACCTGCGCAACGACAGTATAACGATACCGAATTGTCGTTACAAGTTACAGAATAGGCCCACTGTGGATGTCGTAATGTATCGCTAGACGGTAGAGAGAGAGACACAGCTATTAGAAAGAGACAGAGCTTGACCCACACCGGTCGCTATCTCTTTCTTTCGGGCCGGTCATATTCTTTTACCTTGTGCGCAGTCCATACTATATGTCAATGGTTAAGCCCATGGCACATAGAAAAACGTAAGGCCTTAAAAGTAATCAGTAAGCGAATTGACCAATCACAGTTGAGAACGTAAGCGGCGGCTGCTACGTTCTCAACTGTGATTGGTCAATTCGCTTACTGATTACGTTTACGGCCTTATGCCTAGTTCACACTAGGCGCGATGAGCGATGCGCGACGAGCGATAACCAATAAGAACTTTTCTTTACAACGTCGTGTGAGCTAAAGCAAAGATATCGCTCGTCGTTCATCGCCCATCGCATCCAGTGTGAACTAGGCATTACGTTTTTCTATGTGCCATGGGCTTACAAACTTGCATAACCGCATAAACGTATGCATAAAGAAAATTATCCAATCACATTTTAAATGCATCTCTATAAGGGAAATGCGATTGGATGATTTTCTTTATGCATGCGTTTATGCAAGTTGTGTGAATATAGCTTAATGGCCGCAGCACACACTTTTGCATGACGCTAATGCATGACGTATAAGGGAATCAACCAATCAAAATGCTTCTCTTCTGTGAAGTGAGAGGAAAAGAAGGATTATGATTTGTTGATTCTTTTATGCATCATGCATTATGAGTAATGCAAAAGTGTGTGCTGCGGCCTTAACACATCCAAATAAATTGCAAGTCAAAAGCAAAACATACGCACTAGAGTAGATATCAGAGAAGCGCAACCAGCTTAAGTCAGATCGCAAAACTACTAAGAAAAGTACTAAAAATGGCGTCGTTTGCAATTTAACAATTTTTATGCTCATAGCATCTTGGATCTTGATAATGTTGAATGACATTAAAATCTGTGAATGATATATTAAAAATCTGTAAATAATTAATATATGTTGCGAAAATTTAGACCGTTTCTTTTTTATATTTTGCATTGCAGAAAACGAGCGAAATCTAATTATATATATATTTTTAAGTTCAATATAGTGAGATATATGTTACATTTTTCCACATTAATAGCACTTTACATCTTCATACATACTTGCTATTTTTTATTCGATATTCATTTAATGTTTAGTATTTTACGAATTGAGTAGCTAAAACGCACTGGCGCGCTCACATCGAACGTATTGAACTCGTAAATTGCTCAGGCGACAAAATTGAGACTCATTTATTATGTTATTTTCGCGTAAATGAGTCGATCGACAATTGTAACGAAAAGCTACGATGAAAAGGGTTTCAGTGCATACAAATAATTGATGGTATAATGACGAACGTTTATCCTGCACAACACAAGGAATTGTTAATGTCCCAGCGCTTCGCTTCGCGACTGTACGCAAAGTAAAGCAAGTATCGTTGATGTAGTTTGTATTCTTAGCATTTCTAAGAATGACCGAGCGAAAAGACATTTTGCAAAGTCGGTATTATGCAATTCCTAGATTATACATGACGTTAGCAGGATTATGGCCGTATCATCCAATTCGTAATAGATATCTGCATTTTGTACCAACGTTTACAATTTGTTCGATCATTCTTATACCTATGGTATATAATTAACTTTAATTAAGAAAGGAATAATGTCATATAAACCTTAAGAAACTTTTTATTTCTTTTGTACAACATTTTTTATATGAAATCTATCGATGTACTCTCGTATATTTTTTATATAAAAAATTTGCAATACTTGTTATAGCATTCGAAAGTATTCAATTATTATTAATCAATTTATTTCATGCAAAAATATATTGTCTTTTCTCTTCCTATAAACAAAAATATTTTAAAGCTCAGACTTTTTATCTTTTAGAAAGACTGTATTAATCGTTATCTCGTTACCAATGTTTTATAACATCTATATATCAATACTTTGTAGCTAATGTATGTCCACATCGCTATGACGGATCTCGATGATCTATTTGAGTGTATGCCAACGATACTGATTACGATAATATTCAGCTTTAAATTAGCGAGTTTGATGGCAAACAGTAAGAAAGTAAATAATGTGATTATATACGCAGATCTTATTACAACGATTATTGTCACGTAATCTATTATAATTCTCAACGGCAAATAACAATTATCATTGTTATCGTAAAAAGACGGGTGTGTGTATGTGTTTGTAGATAAAGGCTTGTCTTAAAACGATAGAGGACGATTGGTTATCATTAAATACGGATAGCGAAGAGGCTATTCTGCAACGACATACTATACATGGTCAATATCTGACGATATTTTACGCAGGTGCATCAAAAAGAAAATAGACTAAGTTTTATTTTATTAAAATATTGGAAGAGAAGAATGCAGAAGAATTGAAAATTTGCTAGATAACTCTTTTCCAGTAACTTGATCGAATCTTTCAATGACGCTTTTCATATTATATTCGCGTGTTTCCAGTCTTTATGCTGACTACGGGATTGCTCTACATATTCAAGTCAATTGTGTTAATAATGATAGAGGATACATCAAATTCAAGTAAACTACCCGTAACGAAACTACCTTTCCGTGTGGAATACGGCTACAGAATAGATCAGTACTTCTACCCAATAGTGATTCATTGTTATCTAACCGTATACTCTCACGTAACCGCCACGGTTGCTGCTGATACCTTCTACTTCGCTTTGATTCAACATGCTTGCGGAATGTTCTCGGTTGTCGGGTAAGAGTATCAAGAACAATATTTTAAAAATTAAACAAAAAACAATCGTCATGACTGATATTACGAAAAACACTTTAATATAGGAAAGACCAGATTGTCAGAATTTTTGAATGATCATTTTTAGAAAAAGAAGGCGGGTAAAATTTTTAAACATTATATACATTATAATATATTTTCATTACGCGTGCACGTAATGTGCAACCAATCAGGCTTCAGTAAACAGAGAAAGAACGATCATATTATTTCTGTCTCTCACTCTACTCGTCTTTCTACCCTCACCACTACCATCAGCGGTCCATTCTATATGTCGATGGTACGCGCACTCGCTTCGCTCGTGCGCTCGCACCCGTCCCGCGCTATAAACAACTATCCCCCACTGTTACACAATGTACTATTAAGTACATCTCTTAGATATTTTTTTTAAATATTACTTTTAAATACATTATTATATAAATAAGTTATTTAATTTTAAATAAAGGTGTGTGCGCGCGTTAAAATAATAACAATTAATCTTGTACTGAAGATTAATTGTCATATGTTGTAAAGGATTGGTAATAACTAGAACCCGGATTGGTAATTATGTACTTTAGGGGACCCAGCTCCGATGACCTTGACCTTGACATATGTTGTCAAGGTCATGATCCTGAGCAACTTTGCCGTAATGACTACTAGGTGGCGGACTCCTTTAAGAGAACGCAATGGGTGGAAGAGAGTAGGACCCTCTCCTCCGCAGACCCCTCCCCTGTGACGTATTACCCTCTCCATTCTTCCCCGGACCCAATGTCTGTGTACACTTCCCCCTCTCTGACAGCTCACACACACACACACGCACGCACGCACGCACGCACGCACACGC